AAGCCTGGATTGTCACAAATATCCTGGGGAGCCACGGAGCTTCCCTCTTGCTCAGTCCTATGGCCATTAAGTGATATTTAAGGCATGGCACACCTGTGCTTCAATGAGCACAACAGCATTCAGTACCAAGACTTGGTTAGTCCACATAGAGATTTGGAGGAGAATGGTTTACTCTAACCTCAGTTCCTGGCTACGTGGAGCTTTTAATAGCTTTTTTTGTTATCCTTTTATGTGAGAGAAAATGCTTGCTTTTTTGTAGTCTGAGTCTTCCTTTTCCAGAAGCTTATGGGAATGGAGAGAAGTACTTGTACACCATGCTATGTTGCATTGTTTTTTTAGGATCTAATTAGGACACCGTGTTATTTTTTAACTGCTATGTACTATGCAGATCAACTGTTCAACTGAGACCTTTAGCTTAGACATCTGGCTGAGACACAATTGCAGCCCTGACAAGTTGGACCAAAGGCAGAGAGAGGAAAAAGTACATATATAAATGATGTGAATAGTTTGTGAGGGTGTTGGACGCTACTGGGTGAGAGATCTCTAACTCAGCACAGATGTATGAAAATATTTATCTAGCCAGGGCAACAGGAAGCAAAGTAAGTCTAAGAGAACAGTGAGGAAACTCATTTCTCTCTAAATTCATTTCTCTCTAAAAGGAGAAAAATTACCCATACTGCATGCAGAGAAGTGCTGTAGAGATTGCTAAAGATTCCTGTGCTCGCTAGCGGCTCTGTTTCCCAGGGCTTGTGGGTCAGTAATTGCTGCCTTCCCAGTTCTCTAATTCATTGCTTCAAGTAAAAGCTGAAGGTTACCCAGGCAGGCTGCTGTAAGATGCTCCTAGTCCTTTCACTGCTTTGCCTGGAGACAGAGCAGGGTGTCTCCTAGAGGAAGGTGTTGCACAAAACATTGTTTTGGCTCCAGCTGGTCACACCACCTGCCCATTGTGGACTATAAAATAGGTTGAAACAGTGTATTACTGCAGCATAAACCAGAACAGTGAGAATGAGTTTGTAGAAAGCAGGAAAACAGTTTTATTTTTTTTCTGTTGAACTTTTGGAAACAGATGGAGAGTTGATGAGGCAGAGATGCTGGAAGGGACAGTGTGTTTCAAATTTTTTCCTTAATTTCTTCCCAATCTGTTCATAGATTCATAGCTCTTGCTTATTTGCTACACGGTAGTTAGTGTAAGACATGAAAACTTCAGTGCCCCCAGGTCTCCAGAGGTAGGTGTTCATTAGAGCCTGTTGAGCTGTTGTTTTTCAGCTAAGAGACTTCTGACATACAGGACTGTGCGAGCAGCTCATGGCCTGATGGGCAAGATCTTTTCTTACTTCATTCCAAGTTACCACAGTGAAGGGTCTAAAGTTTTCCTGGAGAAAGATGGCAACTCAAGAGTGTCTTGACAGAGTCCTGTACTGACACTAACAGGACAGTCCTGCCTCTCTAAATAACCAATGGTTGTTGGTTTTTTAATTTTTTTTTTTGTTGTTTGTTTTGTTTTAATTTATTCAGAAGCCAAAAAGAATCAGAGCCCAGCAGTGCACCCACCAGCAGTCATCATCATTCCTTAGTCATCCAGTTACTGTTTCTCTCTCTGACAAGAGACATTGGTGTGGTAGAGAGTATGCGAGGAAAAATTGGCTTTTCTTCTAGTCTCCTTGGAGATGTTTAAGCAAATTTCCTTGCATTGTACATATATTTGGGTGTTGCCCGTAGAGGACATATATAACGTCAGTGATGCCTTCAGATCATTGTGGAAGCCAGAGCTGGTGGGAGAGGAATGGGTGATGGGATTGTTAAACCCTTCTTCACTCCCAAAGGCAATGACTTGCTGTGAGATCTGTTTTTCTTCTCATTAGCTTTCATAGTTACAGATGTATCTGGTTGATGATCCCAGACAGCTGGCTGAGTTAGTCAAATCCACATTTCTCCTCTGCCTGATGTTTTGAGTCTGGATATTTATTAATTGCATATACAGTAAGTGCTGTAAGCAGGACTGCTGGGACTTTATTTCTGTGAATGCACAAATTTCTCTGCTGGAAAACATGTTACCTCTTGGCTTATAGCTTGTTCCTGGAGGACAGAGGACCAGAGGGCAGTCTGATTTGATATTAGATCCTTTTAATATTTAAAAGATACAGGAAAGAGGGGAACAAATTCTTTAGGAGGATCTGTGGTGATAGAACAAGGGGAAATGGTTTCAGGCTTAAAGGGGGTAGATTTAGGTTGGATGTAAGGAAAAAGCCTTTTATAGTGAGGGTGATGAGACACTGGAACAGGTTGCCCAGATGTGTGGTGGAAGCTTTGTACCTGGAGTCATTGAAGACCAGGCTGGACCATGCTGTGAGTAACCTGATCAAGCTTCAGGTGTCCCTGTTCACTGCAGAGCTTTGTGCTAGATGGCCATTAAACTCTAAGGATTCTGTGATTCTATATTGGCTTGTCTTTAGCAAGGGCGCAGAGAGGTGCATTGCAGGAAAATACTGAGATGAATAGACAGAACAGCCTGAATTTTCTTTGTGGCTGCTTCTCCTAATTCCCTTCTTTACTGCTCTCTTATCTCTTCTTAAGCCACTGTTGTTGGAATAGCTAGTAAGCTCAACTGCTTGCCCAGAGACTGACAAATATTTAGTATTTTGAGCATCTAAAAAAAGTGAGAGAATTTTACCAAAAAGCAGCTTATTTGCATGATTATCTCCTGATTGTACCTTAAGGTTAATTCAAGCCTCTAAAGCTCAAAAGTTGGTAACTGTTGGTAAAACGCTGGTAACCAGCTAATGCCATTACAAAGCTTTTAATATTTATTAGGTTGCATTCAGTTACTTACGTAACCAGGAGTGCCTTTCACTGAATTACAGACTGATTGGATGACTAAGGATCGGATATTGGTAAGCTAAGCTTGTTTTAAGAATTTGCATCAGTTGTTTTCTGTATTAGTGGAGCAGATCCTGCAGTTGCTAGACAGTGTGCAGCAGGTGATCGATGAATCTAATCCAAAAATCACACTGTGCAGGTTTTACTTCTGTTTTACCTGAGTATAAGTGGCAATGCTGGCTGTAAAGGGGTAGAGTTGCTGGTGTGCAGGTGAGGATGTATGTTTCCTTGACTGCTTGGTGTAACTACCATTGGTTTCCTTAGGACTTGGATAAACATGACAGTTCTAAGTTTTTCCTCCTGCAGTATTATTTAGCAGGCCCTTAATTTTACAAAATTTCCTGGACCATAGACAGCAACTGTTCAACGTAGGGCAAGGCTATACTTTTTGTTACGTGTGAGAGTGTAGATAGGCTAACAGCTCGAGTCTGAGAGTTTAGATGAGTTAGCAGCTGGGGGTAACTGCTGCTCAGGAGGCTGCTGAACAGCTGATCGCTCCCAGCCTGTTTCAGCATGAGGCATTGCTTCCCAGCTCCTGCTCACTTCTTAGTTCAGTGGAAACCTATGTCTCCAGCTGAAGTCTCTGAAGATGTTGACCTCAGATCCTGATCAATCATAACCCTACCAGGTAGTAATTTTAGTTGTTTTAAATGATAGATCAACAGTCTACAGTGTTTCTCTTATTTCCAGAAGGGACACTGGGAGAATTCCTCAATTCAGTAAGGAAGCCAAATCATGCATTTGCTTTTCTCAGCTGTTTAAGAAAGATTTCTAGCTGTTTGTCTTGTAGCCTACACTTCTCTATTTCTCTCTCCCCACTTAACAGGCTGTCTGCTTGTTACAAGGGTCTTTTGCTAGCCCTTAATTAGCCCTATGGATTTGCTCCTACTATGAGGTTATGTGCTTATCCAGAGTTGTTAAAAGGCTTGTATGGATCTTTAAATGGAATCTTCTTCAGTCTCTGGTGACAGTTTGAGCCCTTTCACGCCACAGGGATCAGTGTGAGTGCTTCCTGAGTCCTTGTGTAGTTGCACTGTACTGCCTGGCCAGCAGCAGAGGCTGGCTGCATTGCTGCACTCTGCAGTGACGCTGGTTCCCATAGCTCTCAGCTGGGGAGGGCTGCGCTGTGGGGTTCATGCTCAGGTCTGAAACATCCCAGAGGATCAGGGTGTTGGAGGTTTGTGGCAAGCTAGGGCTCATCTCTGAGCAGAAGTGTGCTGTAGAAGTATCCCAACCAGAACTGGGTGGCTGTTTTGTAACAGAGCAGACGCTCCAGCCCAGCAGGACCAGGATCCTGGGTGAGTGAGTTTTCTCAATCGTGGTGCTGGGTGTAACTCTAGCAACAGCATGTTATTTTGGCTGAGTTTTGTTTTGTGAGTCAAACCCCAGTACTCAGAGGAAACTGAGGTAAAAACACATGATGCAAGTGCACTTGCCACCTTCCTCGTTCTGCAGAAACTTCATAGCTTTTACTTAGCATCTCCCAGATCTTCCAGAAGAACCTTATTTTTTAGACTGCATTTCACTGTCCTATGGCATATTGGGGTGGCATAAAATAACTTGTGTGGCTGTATCAAAACAAACAAACACCCCTACTGATTGTACAGCATGATTTGTGGAGTAGCTTATAGCAAGAGTAGCCCACTCCCTCCTATGAGAAAGTCTGTGTATGGATTTGACAGCCAAACAGATATGATGAGGGTAGGTTTTCCAAGGGCTAGAGCAGTGGTCTAGAATGTCCTAGAGCTGGGATCTGTCTCTGTTATGCCAAATGCTTCCTTTGTTGTGCAGATTGTTTTGCATCCTTCCCTACTTTGCCTCTGCATAGGTGCTATTCTCTCATTCATTAGCTGATATTTTTGTAGTATGGTTTCTGCCCAGAAAACTCTGTGATCAGGCTCCAGAGCAGACTTGAGAAGGAGATAAAGGAGGATATCTTTGGGTGGTGAGAGAGGTCTCCTGTTTTGTACTGTTGTCTGAACTAGTGTGCTTCAAGTAATTGAAGGTGATGATTGTACAGTTTTCATTGGACAATGTTGTGTGGGATTTTTTTTTGGTTTCTTTATTTTTCCTTGGCTTTCCTGGTTTGCTGTTTTATTAGGAGGTTTGTACACCTGACTTTTCAGGGGCTAGAACCTGAATCCCAACCTGAATTTTGTGAGTAACCTCTGATACCTTCTTCTGAATGTAGATACTTCTACCAAAGAATCCAAAACTCCAATCTGATCTCTCTGTGAAATTAGTCTTTAATTGTGGACATGGGAACCCTTTGTTTAGTGTAATCAGATACTGTAAAGTACGTGTTTAGGAATGGGGATTGGTCTTTTTGAAGCAGAATTTTCCAGCCACTTCTGGCCCCTTTAGTCAGTGTGCCAAGTCAGAACTGTGCCTTTATTGGCCAAGAGTTAAATACTTCATTTGATGAGAGATAAATATCGGGGTGCTGAATGTACACTGGGCAGGAAATAAAACGGGGGCATGCTGCAAATCGAATTTCACAGTGCATTGGTGTATATTTACATGTGTAGCATTTGGAGTCCTTTGTTCTGTCCTTTGCTAATGTTTTATGGAGAGTATGACATTAGTGTAAGTGTTGACCCACATAGTAACCTTCGCTCTGTGCCCTTCTGCAATCAGCAGCTCTGGACACCTGTGTTGCTTTCTGGGCTTCACTTGCTAGGAGATGCTTGCCTTGCAGTAACTTTCAGTACATTTTTTCAGTCCCCTGGTTTGTCAGCAGGTCAGTGCCCGTATGTGTGCATTTGAGGCATCACAATCCAGAATCAGGCTGCGGGCAGACCACACTCCTTGCCATCCTGAATGCACCACTTCCACCCCAGTACAAGGCTGTGGAGTGGTGGAAGTGCTCAGGTGTGGGACGCTGTAGTATGTCTTGTGACTTAAAACATCCCTTCATGTGAGCTACGAAACCCATGGCGTGGGCATCATATAACATCTAGTAATCATTAAAGTGGTTTGTTTCCCTGTGTGACACATGAGGATTTATGTGAGGAATCTCAGCTGCCAAGTGCAGAAACTTTAGCTGTGACCCTTCAGCTCCTACCCATTGAAATAGGATCTACCATGTCTACCGCTAATGAAAACATTCCTTCCTTGATAGGCAGATACTCTCTGGTTATGAAAAAGAAAGAGGAAAAAGCTCTTTTTTCAAGTACTTCCCCTATGCTTTAATCAAGTATTTCTACAAGGCTTGCTTGTTGCTTCCCTTCTGTAGTGCATCCCATCTCCCTGCTACCACAGCGTCATCTCCCAACTTTCTCTCCCTTCCCCAGCTCCGGAGCTGCAGGAAGAGCCAGCATCTGGCCTGATGACAGTGGCAGGCGAGTGACAAGCAGGCTGGGTGGGGGTGGCTGATGATGAGCAAGCCTAGTGACAGCATGGTGTGACTAAGAACCCACTGGCTAATAAAAGCACAGGAGGAGGAGGAGCAAAGTATTTAAGGGTGTCAGGGAGAGAGAGAAAGGTTTCCACAAATTTTTTGGTACACTTCAGCAGCCAAGTGGGTGGGCAACACAGTGAAAGGCTTCCTTAACTCTTATCCTCTTATGGGATGAAATTAAGGGGCTAAGAAGATGGCACCATTAACTGAAAAGTCTGAATCAAGGTAAGAACGCTGCTGTATTTTTTTCCTAGTTAGTCAAAACTAGCCTTCCTGGAGCTGTTGTAAAGCCCTGGGAGATCAGTTCACTTGGCACTGGCACCTGCTAATGTGCAGTGAGTGGGTAGGTCTGCTGGGCTCCACGCACTAACTTTGAAATTGTTTGATTCACATGGGTGGGTATTTCCAGTTGCTGCTTGAAAAGAGAGGAGATATCTAGAATAATCGTTTTGTGAGCTTGTGTCCTGGATAAGGGAACTAGCAGGTCCTAGCCTCTGTATCCAAATTACTGCATCATTCTTCTGACTAACTTTATGTGAAGGAGTGGTTCAGAGTTATTCCTGAGAGCTGAGTCCAAGTCTATTGCTAAAATGAAAGTGAGGAGAGTGGATGTGGAGTTCTCAGCAATATGTCACTTGAGCCTTGAGGAGTCAGAGGGAAGCGAGGATGAGATTTGGTTTCTGAAATTTGGCATTCTTCTATTTCTGGAGATGTTTCAAATGTCAAACCATTGTTAACCCAGAAGTTCAGTTTTTTCAGAATGTTTTCAGTACCAAGCAGAGGAGCAGTTGCTGTGTTCTTCATTCCAGCATGTAAGTAGCTTTAGAAGCAGCAAGGTGAGCAGCCAGGACTTTAGCCTGAATTCCTGGCAGGTGTGGCTTTGCAGTCTGGCCTTGGACACGTTACAGCAGCCAGCCTTCTGGGTTTTGCTGGGGCCTTCTTGTGCCTATATTCAGGCAGATGAATTGGTTCCAGGGAAATTTCTCTAGAGTAGCAGTGCCAAAGGCTGAGGAGAACAGCCCTGTCCAACACCATGCATCCTCAGCCTTATCAGAGGTGTGTTGGAAGAAGGGGTATGGCTTACTTCCTTCATACATTGGCTAGATTTAGCTTGTTCTGTCATCTCCTGGAGATCACTGCAATTGTGTTTATAATGAGAACAACTTTTGAAATGGCTTAGCTTATTCTGAAGGCATCATAAAACACTCAAAGACTGACATACACACCTTGTTTACGCTGTTCTGGCTCAGTTAATTTCAGACAATACATAGGACAGAGGCTTGAATCTTCCATCTCTATGCCAAATGTTGCTTAGTGAGTGTTTGTGAAGAGGTTGAAAACAGCTAGCACTAACAGAGGTCATGATTAACAGTTGTCTGATATAATTGCCAGAGTGATGATTTAAAACCAGAGCAACTCCTCTGCCTTGCAAAGCTGGGAATCTCAGGATGTGTCTGAGATGGTAGAAGGTGATCTGTAATATTAAGGTATTTATTTATAATGTTAGAGGTGTACAAGAATCTTTCCTCTACAAATATTTCACAAAAATTGGGTTAATTAGAATCTGAACTTTGTGACACCAGTCAATTGCTAATTAGTATTTCTACTTAATGAAACTTCCACTTATTTACTACTTTGCTGTTTGAGAGCGTATGACAGCAGTGAAGGCAGCCTTTGTAGTCTGTGCTGTACAAAATCATGCAAGAGAAGCTGCTGGATGTTGTTTAGATGATCTAATTGATTGTATTTACAGAATGCCATTCACTGTATTAAATGCAATGTAGTGTTTGTACGTGTCCCTCTGTCCTGTGGTCAGCTGAACGGATCCATTGTTATATGTAATTAGGGCTTCTGGAATTTGGGTCTGTTAATTTACAGTAATTCTTCTGCAGACACAAGTGGCCCCGTGTCAGAGGTGTATGCAGCTGAGTGCAGCACACAGAGCACCCCAGCTGCATGGATGGTACAGATAGTCCCAAAACAGCTTGAACTAAATGAATCTTCTGCTTGTTCCAGTTGAAGTATAAAATCAGCATGCTCTAGGCTAGGTGCAATTGCTACTGTTTGGCCCAAAAAAGGTAAATCTGCAAAAAGGTAAATCTGACAGTGTTGAATTCATTGCCTGTTATTAACTGTAAGTAAATGGCAATTTCAATAGTTGTGTGAGTCCTGCTTGAATTCTTATGTAAGTCTCAGTTAAGCATCCTGAATTGTCCCAGGTGGTGGTGAGCTGCTAAATTGTTTACTGCTTTCCTTCAGAGCTGCAGTCTGAGAGCTGTGCCCTGGGAGTTGCCTTGCATGGGCTGCACTGCCGCTTGTCTGTAGAGTGCTTCTGTCTGTGAGGTGTTAGCATACGTATTGCAGATAAAGCTGAGAAGAAACTGCCACCTCCCCCCTCTAATGCTCTCAGGTGCTGTGACTGAATATAGGATTTTATTCAAAATACTCTAGAAGTTTCTGAACCTTTACAGTGTGAGCTGCTTGGGTGTATAGGTGTTGCACAAAGGCACTTGTTTCTCTAGCAGACACATGATACATGGGGCACAGCCAATGTCACCGTGATCTCAGCCATCAAATACAAAAACAAAAGGCAGTCACAATGGACTCGGGAGGAAGTCAAAGCCCAGTTACAGTGCATTTAAAATCTATTGTCTATTTTTTGACTGGAAAGTTACTGATAAGAGTAGTTAACTCATCCTGTGGGAAGCAGGGAACCACCACATGCGTCGTCACTCTCCTTCCTGCCTTGTGCCAAGCTGTTGCTTTCCCAGCCCTGAGCCTGTGGCAGAGCAGGTTGCTGATGGCTTGAGCAGGAGACACCTCCAGCCCCACAACTCTATGCGTCTAAGTCATCATCACGAGGGCTCAGTGGCTGATGACAGTATTCCAGTCTATTTCTTTGTATGGAAGATCCCTGTGGGCATCAAATCATTTTCTGAAGTTCCACTGACCATGGAATTGTTTCTCAAAGACAGGCCAGAGTTAGAATAGGCCAGAGAAGCTGCTTTGCCTTTTAAACCTTGCTTTTCAGCTCTTGGGCATCTCACCTTCAGGCTTTGCTCTCTGTTTCTGTGACACTGAGCAGAGTTAAAGCTTTGGATGTTCAGCCTTAAAGGTATGCTGTTTGCTTGCTGGATTTCAGAGATGGATGACAGCATGTAGACCAGTGGCTTTGGAAACGTCTGTTTACAGGTTTGCAAATGGAGACACAGAGGTGTGATTCTTTCTGAAAATGAATGGTGCTTACATAAACAGAAAAATGATGTTGGTGCAAAACAGTTCGGTGCTAGCTGTTCATCAGTTAAATTTAGGCTGCAAGTCAGAAACGATGTTCTACTCATAAGAAGGAAGGAGTTGGCTTCAAGGAGGAGCTGTAGAGGCAGGAAACCTTACCAGTTTCAAGCTGGAACTTGAAATGTTCCTGCCCAGGATTGTATGACACAGATGCCTGCAATAGCATGGGAGTAGGCTTGATGACCCCACAGATCCTTCTTGGCAGTGTTTGAAAGTGGTGACCTTGAACTGAGTTAACTCAGGTTGCTGGTAAGCGTTGTTTACTCTGAAGTTGGTGACTGAAGGATAACTTCATTCTGAAGGCATCTCTGAGCTCTTAAAGTCACATCTCCTAGTTTACATTTCTTATTTGATGGGCTGGCACGTTACTGTTAAATTGTACCCAGACTGGCACACATACCCCAGATATGCTCATTAGGAAGGAAGCAAACATGCACCATATTTAAAAAATAAAAAAAGACAACAGTACTGTGTATGCAGTGTGCTATGTTTGTTTGTTCCAACAGCTGTAAGCTCAATTATTTATAAGAACATGCTATTCCAGCTTGTGTGTAGCGCTGCCATTTGTTGAACTTAGCTGAGCCTTCACTGCTCAGTGCTGTGTGAACCTTTGCTGAAGCATGTGGGGAGGCAGCTGCTCGGAGCTGGTAGGACTCCAGGCTGGATGTGGCTCTAGGCAGCCTGGTCTGGTGGTTGGTGATGGGGGCTGAAACTAGATGATCATTATGGTCCTTTTCAACCCAGGCCATTTTATGATTCTTCACAGTCCTTTCATGATGTTTATTCTTAGGAGCATCATATCTTCCGATGGAATAACAGGACGTTCTTTAACCCTTAAAATAAAACTGACAGGCAACATATTTCTGTCAGTATTTCAGGATAAGAGAGTAGTGATACTTGGAGAAGAGAGCTGATTGACTGGATTAACCTGGAGCTCTGCCTCTTATATTCCCAAGTTACTTTCTCTTGCTCCCTTTTATGTGGTACAGCATAAGAAATACAGCTGTGTTCTCCAGTGGCTTGCTTTAAGCAGAGGAGCCTCTTAGTAGCAGACGCTGGCAGCAGCACAGCCCTTTGCCCCCTGTCCAGCTCTGGGATCACATGGTGCTGGCACTGCTGGCTGAGCGGAGCATCTGGGGCAGGAGCACTGGTGGCACTGAGAGAGGGGCTGAGCCAGGGGCTAAAGAAGTGGGTGCCAGCAGTAATGTACAAGGGCTGATCAAGTGAAAAATAGCATTTGTGATTGCTCGTCATCTCTTAAATCTGAAAATCTCCAATTTTCTTCTAAATGCCTTAATAGCTCGACTATAATTACATAAACAAGACTTTGATTTTTCATTTGTATGCTACAAAACACTCAAAGCTCTTGTGTGTGAAGAAAAACTTCTGTGAATGTGAAAGCTCAGAACTGAGAAGCTAAAGCAGGAATCTGAGTAATGAATTTAAGGCCTGCCTGATGAGTTTTGAATGCTTACGGTTAGCAACAGCTCTTAAATTCTAAGTAAGTCATCGGGGCTATCAGTAACAGCAAGAGAAGAAAGCAGAGGAAATGACATTTCCCCACACGTACATTAGACCACCAAAAATAACCACCACCCACGACTCCCGGCAGAGATACCGGTGGCTGCAGAGCGTGCGTCCTTACTCGGGACAATTAATGAGCTGTTTGTTACCCCGACCGTCGCAGGGGGAGCACTTGAATGTTTAGAGCATGTGAGATAATCCAGAGACATGCTGCGCAGCAGTAGTCACTACTTATCTGCATTCCTCCTAAATAGGGCTCTAAATCCACCGTGCTCCGTTTCCACACCAAGTAGGGAAGGAGCTGCGGCCCTGGGAGAGATGTGCTGGGGGTGAGAGGGAGGAAGGAGTGCTGAACACCCGTCTAGAGGTACGGAGCTGGCAAGGAGCTGCTGCATGTTACGTACAGGCGTTGGCATCTTCAGCATTACAACTGCTGGCTTACGCCCTTAGGAATTCATCACCTTTCATTGTGTTTTGAATGTCTGCAGCTTTGTTGCTATGTCTGTCACATTTCAGGAAAGGCATAAATTCAGACCTGGCAAGGAGACAGTGGTCTGCTACTTACAGCAGGGAGCGAGGAGACACTGCGGTGGTTTTGTGTGGGAGAGCGGTTTTTGTTTTGCCCAATTTGGTGGTACTATTTTTCAGTTCCGAAGACTGGCACAAGGGATCCAACCTTTGATTTCCTCCGAAAGATTCAGTCTTGAAGTATGGCTGTGCATTCTGCACATGTCTGTGGGTCTGTGTGACCATTTCTACAGGAAGCTGTCTGAAGGAACCGAGAGCAGCAGATGTTCCCAGGTCCACCTGCCTCTGCAGCCCATGTGCAGCCTGTCCAACCAATCTGGCAGGGCTGCTCTGCCTGAGGATGCTCTCCCAAACACAGACAGTGTGCTGACTTACAGCATGTATGTTCCCAAATGTTACAGAGGGCAATGCAGAGGGCACAGGCCAGATGTGCTGTTGGACTGAACGAAATCTGGCCCTGAGAACAGCCTTAGACTACATAAAATACAAGCATAACAGAACTTCAGTCAATGGTTTAGGTTAAGCCTATGGAAAACAGGGTGCAAAAGGCATTGAGGCACATTCTCAACTTCAAACATACTCTGTAATTTCCTCAATCTAAGCAGCAGATTTTTTGGTACCAGGATGCAGTGAGTCTGCATACAGACCCTCAAATGACCTAAATCAATTTTAAAATGGAACGTCCAGAATTACAGTAGTTAAAGTGCTCTAGATTGCTTACACTAACCTTCAGCACTCCAAACCTATTCTTTTTATGGGAACCTACATTAAGTATATGTTCATGAGTGCTTGAATAATACTGGTTAGTTTCACGGTTAATGAACGCTGAATGGTTGTTGTTTTAATTGGATTCTGTAATTGCAACTAAGTGTGAGTATATGGGTGTAGTCGTTTTTCTAGATCTAGTTCTAATGAGTTTGCACACATTTAATTTAGGAAACTTATTCCTTTAATTACTACTGAGTTTCTGATCTCAAATCGCTTCTTGTGGAAAAGTAATTTGTTCTTTTAAGGCCAAATAATTGAGCGTTTTTGTGTGTGAGTTCTTTGTTGAATGCCTTTCTTAGCACGGTGAAGCAAGTGCTTTATTCTATAACCAGCGTCAAGACTCCCAAATACAAAAGAAACCACTAAAATCAGAGTTTCCTGGCAGTTGTGATGTCACTTATTCTAAGTGGAGAAGAGACACTTCAAAATGAGTGAGGCATGGGGTCACAGAGGTACTTGCTCAGATACTGCTACTGAGGAATGTGCTCTACCACCGTATTGCTGAGAGCCTGGCCTTTGCCCGAGTGTGAGCTGTGTGTATCCTGCCAGAAGGGTAGCATGCTGAAGTTTGTTGGGCCTTTTTTAAATCTTATATTGCAGAGGAAGACATGCAACCTTTTGGGGATACTCAGTGTAGAGGAAATGTCCTATTGACTTGTTCAAATCCCAAGGAGAGGGCCAGTGCTGTGCTAGTACTTCTGGGTGCTAGCAGTCTCCTCAGTTTCACTATGTTTTTATTCCTAAAGCTGAATTGAGACTTAACTGCAATAGTTTTCTCCCTGCTCTGTGAAGTATTTTTCCAGTAAGTTTAACTGATAATAGTTTTCCATAGCTAGAAGAATGTGATATTGCTTCATCCTTTGCCTTGATAATCTGTAATTTTAGCTCATCTATTTATCCTTTACCTCAACTAAGGTAATTACTTTCTGTAATTGAAGCTTACAGAGATCAGAAAGATCATTTTTAATAAATACATTTAGCCAAATTTTCAGGCTGTGTCAACCATTCCTATTTCAGGGCTCTTGCTTCTAATATGAAATGGTAGGAACAAAAGGTGGGTGCTGTGTTGGCAGGCCTTTTGGTTGTGTTCGGCTTTTGTTGAGTAGCTTTAGTTTGCGCCCGCTGCTCCTTTGCTGGGATCAGTTTGGAGTTAGGCTGTGCCCTGCTGAGCCTTCTCCAACCCACAACGTAATACACTGTGTGGGCATTTTAATGAATAATATAACTAAGTGTTGGCAGCTGTTGCTGGTGTGATACGCCTGAAAGCCCAGGTATCAGCTAGTTTTATGGATGAATCCTTTATTTTATTTGCCAGCTTAATTTTCTTTACTTTCCTTTTGACTGTCTATCAAATGTGCTCATTATATTCTGATTGGTATGGAATGAATGCTGCTTGAGAATGGGCATGCTTCAGGCAAGGAGCAAACTGAACTCCCTGAAGACAAATTTCCACCTCTTAGATTGCCCTGCTACTGACTCTACTTCTTATAACAGGAAAACAAGAAAACAAAAAATGTCTTCTCTGCCACCTTGTTTCTCCAAGTAGCCTGGAAGTAAGAGAAGGTGTAGTATTCCCTCAGATTAGGGTGTTTGTTTATGCACAATTGCACAACTTGTGATACTTATTTCTACTTGTGCCCTGGAAAACATTTAATTAGCTGGAATCACTCATGCTCTATTTAGTGCTAATTTTTGGGGGGGAAGTGGGAGGGAGAATGAGACGTGAAATTAAAGAGTTTTTATCAACCTAGACCTCGGGAGAGTTAAGTAGTCCTGGCAAGCATAGACTGTTCTGTAGAAATGCTGCTCTTTTCAGACCAACTTCTGCAGTGACGTTGAAAACTGTTTGTAGGTACCAAGCCCTACCAGGCTCTGCAGTTGTCCCTCGTAGTTTCTCGTGGCTGTGAAAATTGACTTTTTTTCATCTCTGTTCACAGTTGGAGATCTTTTATCTCAATTTGGTAACTTTATTGCCTTTGATCCCAGGAGCATTAAAGCTTCTAATGTTAAGTTTCACCTATTGCCCCCTGTTCCTGATGATACCAGGAACAGGACTGGAAATGGTTGGTGCAGAAGTTAATAAACATTTCTACAAATACTTGTTCTTCATTCTAATGTCTTCCACCAGAGGAGCTAGTGTTGGTAGGAGTAACAGATTACCTTGAAATATGGCAGTGAGCTAAGCTTGAGAGTTTTAGCTTAAAACTGGATGGTCTCACTAAGATTTTCTTTTTCTTTTCTTTTTTTTTTTTTTTTTTAATCAAAGATGATGGGTTTTTCGTATATTAGGAGCTTATCCAGATTTGCAGTGTGCTCTATAGAAACTCTCATGCCTTCTTTGGTGTAATCTTTAGGTTGGAAAGTTGTATGCATATTAAGTGAAAGTACTCTTTAATTTCTGATAATTATCAACAAAAATGGTAACTGCTGACTGACATAAATACATCTTGATTTTGAAACTCAATTTCTTGAGGAAATTCTTGCAGTTCTTACCTTAACTTTTGTGATGATTGTTCAGCATTAGATACGCTGCTGTCTAAGCAGATTTTAAACAAATTAACCGCTCTACCTTTCATTTAAACAGAGATAAACAAAATCCAGAAGTGAAAAAGGCAATTCCTTCCGCCACAATGAGCTCTGGTAAGTCTGTGTTGTTTCCTGCTTGTTCTCATTAACCTACCTTACTATTGCTGGACTTATTTCTATCCTTTGGATCCAATTACTTTTTTTTTTTTTTTTCTGACTCTTTTGCATCCTGGTTCTCAGGCAAAGCCCTGGCATTGCAGAATGTTTTGGGTTGGAAGGGACCTAAAAATCCCTCGAATACCTCTGCCATTGGCATGGATACCTCCCACTACACTAGGCTGCTCAAAGCCCTATCCAGCCTTACCTTGAATACCTCCAGGGTCTGAACATCACAGCTTCTCTGGACAACCTGATCCAGCGCCTCCCCACCTCATAGGGAAAAATTTCTTTATAGTATCTAGTCTAAATCTACCCCCTTCCAGTTTAAAATCATTATTCCCTGTCCTATCTCTACACTTTCTGATAAAGAGTCCTTCCGTAGATTTCTTCTTGGCTCCCTTTAAGTGCTTTAGGATCTCCCTGGACCCATCTCTTCTCCAGACTGAATGACCCCAACTCCCTCAGCTCCTCTTCACAGTTGCTCCAGTCCTCTGAGGAAAGGCTCAGGGATTCTGACTTTTGGAGAAAGAGTGGAATGGCTTTGTAGTAGTGTCCTGGCTAGACTTCTGTTGTTTCAAATTGGCCTATAAAGCTCTGAGAACCAGCTACATCTTGAGCCAAAGTTGGTCACTTTAGCTTGTTGTAGTCTGGAATGAGATCTGAAAGACTTAAATGTGTTTTAAGGGAGGTGAGTGCAAAGTTTGACATCTGGATAGGAAAAATTAGCTCTTCAATGAAAAATGAGGGTAAATGAAATGGAGATAGTTGGGGAAAGGACAATTGTTGGGTTTGTCTGGGTAATAGAGTAAGACTGAAAAAATTTAAGTAGATACCATGCTAAAGTACCGTATGTAGAACCCATGGAATAACATCCCCACTTGATTTTAGCACGTCTCAGCTGGAGTATTGTGTCCACTTTTTAGCACTGCATTTTGAGAAAAAACAGAACCATTTGGAGATCGTATGGAGGAATACCAGAAGACTAACCAGAAGCATGAGCTGGGAATTTGACTTAAAAGTTGCAAAAACTTCCATGTTTTAAAACACTGGAATAAACTGCTCTAGGGTGATGCTGTAAAAACTAGTTAGGCAAACACATGTCAGTAATTACAAAGGTAGATACGTATGTTTCTGTTGTGGGTCAGGAACATGGCTTCAGATAACCATTGGAGATCCTTTCCAGTGCTGTCTTCTGTGTTCTCTGAACTTCACAAAACCCAGTTTGATTCATGCCAACACGGCACGTAGCTGGAAAATTAGGGAGCGTGGGCCAGCTCTCTTATCTTTGGGTTTGTACTCATGTCTGGCTGACACGGTAGCAAAGAGCATTTACTTTTCCCAGGGTGTTTATGTCCCGCCAAAAATGAAAACAGCATTGAGCTGTGTGCCATCTATACATACAGAGACAATCTCTGCTTTTAAAAGAGGCTGCAATCCACAAAAGGCAAAGAGAGACCTAGTTGTCATCCAAGAGAGATTTACGTCTCCAAATAACACCGCCTGAGATGGTAGGAATACTTCCTATATCCAGAATCAAGTACTGCAGACCCATGGCATGCCCTCATATTCAGATGTGAAGTTCAGTTGCAAATGCTTTAACCTGAAAGTAATCTGCTTCTTGGTTTTCTTGCAGAACGTGAAGAAGTTGATGTTGCAAAAACTGTTGTCAATGGGCTGAGCAGCAACGGACAAGAAAAAGGTGGGTTGAGAGCTTCAGAGCCACCTCTGCAGCTCCCCCTGCATGTCAGCTGAGTAATGTGGTTGGTTTCCCTGGGCACCACAGCAGTGTTTCCAAATTTAGTTTGCCTGGTGACTGATACAAGAAAGTCCTTGTGCTACAGCATGCCAGCAGCAGCATTTTTTAGCTGAACAAGTGCTCTTTGTCTTTTAAGCAACAAAAGGCGGCAGGCTGGGTTTTCATTTTTGCGTACTTTTTGTGCTGTTCTGAAGAAAGCAGTACACTACTTCTAGTACTTGCGTGCACCTGTGTATCAGTATCTTGATGTGTTTAAGCAGCATGGACTTTCGGGTGCCTGTGTGTGAACCCTGTTAACCTCAGTGGAAGATGAAGTTCTGAGCCAGAATTAAAGAGCTGGAACTGTTTATGTAATAAAGAAACGTGTAATTAGCAACAAGGGTTTTAAGCCCCAATTTATGTGAACAAACCAGCCTTCATGTTAACATCAACAGACTTGAAGCATAAAATAGCATTCAGTATTATATAGTGATGGTGTGTATTTTGGCAGGGTGAAAGCATGTGCCTGTATGGGTTGGTTGTCTGTAGGGTTCATTTCCTTTCTTTTCTTTTGATGCCTTTTTATAGTGGTTAGTATTTTGACTGCATTGTGGGTGACTGAATTCAGTCAGTTGCAAAGCAGAACAGCATTAGAGTTGTTTCCTAAACCGCAGACTCTTTGGAGTTGAGAGATCTGTTGAATTCAGGATGCTCAGGGAGATGCGTGGAGAACAGAGTTTGATTTGGTTTGCTCTAAGGCAAATGGCTTTCAATCCATGCAGTCAAATCTAAAAAATCAACAACTATCTGTGGTTTGAAAAAATTTGTTGAGCTCTTCTTCTAGCCTCTTGCTTGAGAGCCCTTTGCCAGATGGAAGTCATGCTTCCCACTTCTGCCTGGGGCCAGACAGATCTGCCACCAGGTGATGTGCACAGTGCTCTGAGGTCAGTACCTCTCTCACTCTCACCCAGTGCTCAGAGGTGGTGTGAGAAGTGTTAGAGATGTGGTTCCTCTTGCTCCTGATTTTTTCAGGCCTGAAGGAGGTGGAGTGAAGAGGACACCTGCCACTTTCCAGCTAAAACATGCAGAAATCTAATAGATTCTAAAGGAGAAAATCTTGGCTCTGCAGAAATCAACAGCACAACTCACATTTCTCTAGTGGAGCTTTGACTGCATGGTGTTAATCTTGGCAGATCCTATTGAGAATCACCTATATGTAGTTTCACCTTTTTTATTTTCATCTGTAATGGAGTTCCCCATTAGCAGCAATAAAGAAATGGAAAGGAAGTAGCAACGGTTTTGGAGAGTTTTGTAACCTCCGCTAGAATTTTGCACTGTGCTACCTATGATTTTCCCCTACATTATTTTAGCTATATGTATACTGTAACTACTATACTAAGTGATGGAGTGCAGGGAAAATCTTTAATTTACTGCTTTGATAGATGTCTTATATTTCTGGACCAGATATTTGATGCTACGCTTCAGTGTGGAACTGCTCTTCAGGATTGTTTAATATTTCTGTACTGTTTTGTTGCTGAACTTATAAAATGTGCCCTAAAATCCAGAATTCCTGTAGTATGGATAGTTTTTGATGTTTCTCTCTGACCCTCTGCCTGTTTTTTCACTTTAACTGAGCCACTGTAAAATTGACTTAACATTTCTATTTTTGCATGTAGTGTATCGCAGCTGAATGGTCACACTAAAAAAAAAATAAAAATTATGGCTTCTAAAAACTAATGCTTCCAGGTTTGTTACCCCTGCAGCATAGTGGTGGTCAGCAGCTAGTTGACTCAGTAAGCAGTTCTGTGCACGGTGTAAAGCAGACGCATCCTGGATTAGGACAAGCACAGGGATATTTTTAGTGGTTGCATCACTGCTCTCTGGACTGCTTTTGTATTTGAAATTTCCTGCTATTGTGTCTCTGAGTACATTAGAAAATTTAGTGGCATGATTCCAAACTCTGTTCTTCCCTTTTGGATGTGCCATTTACACTTTTGTGTTTGCAGCTGTTGACGTCCCTTTATACACACGCTCTATTTCTGCCGTTACAATAATCCCTGTGAAGAAAGTGAAAAGTTCTCCTCACCTAGTGCTGCCTACAGGTATCTTTTTCTTACTCCTCCTGCTGTGCATTAGTTGCCATCATTCTCCCTCTTTCTCTCTCTTTTTTTCCTCTCTGCTTCACCCATGTGCTTTGGCTGGCTTTCAGCTTCATCCTTCTCACTGTTTCCAGAGCTGTAGACTTCATCAGTAAGTAATAAAGTTAGCTCCTGATGGCACAGTGCACTGTTCTCAATTATGCTGCTTCTCTGCAGACATAATTGCGTCTGCTTGAATCTGGAATCATTGTAAGCTCTTCTTCTAGTGCTTGGTTATGAATGATGCTGTTACTACAGACTCATTTTGAACCAAACTCCTGATGAACCAGAGAACGCTTCCTGCGTAACTTTAGTGTTTATGAAAGTAAATAGACATCAGAGGTGGTATTTTACAGGTTCAAGCATAGTTCAACTTCTGTGGGATGGTTTTGTTATTCAGTGCATACGCTGACATTAGAGAAACTTTATGTGATAAATAAGGATGTCAGGCTCTCTGTTACCCCCTTCCCCTAACACGTTTTCCTGCTTGAAGTACAAGATTATTTTTGTTCTTTGCTGGATTTGGGCAGTCGTACCAGGCTAGCTGATACTGCTCGTCTCTTCTGATCTGTCACACACAAGCACTAAGTAAGGAGCTTATGTCATTGTGTTTGGTACCATCTGCTGGATCCCTCTAATGAGAAATTTGGATCTTTGTTTTCTCTATTTTGACTAAATTTCTGAGGACATTTGTCGTTGTCAATTTTATTTTCAACTCTTTTCTAAGTGCTCTGATTTTATTGAGTTCAAAACATTTTTTCAGTGATTCCTACTGTTTTGATTTGGCTTACGTTTGGAATAAGTTGTATGAAAATAAACTGCTTTAGTAGGGAAAATTCTCTGTTTCTTGGCATACGTCTCTGCAGAGATGTCAGTCCCAAGACTTTCCTGTATCATTAAGGGTTCTGCCACCCAAACCTGTGCATCTAAAATGGAGCACACAAGAGCAGTCAAGCATAGAGCACTTACAGTTTTTTTCCTTTTATGATTTTCTGTATCCCTAATTTGGAAGTGAGGTACATCAGTGTGCAGTGCAAGGTGTGTGCTCTGCTGTATTGCAGCATTTAGAGCCATCTCTGTTAATTCTAGGCCTTATTCTCCCAGGCTGCATGCTCTTACTCTGCTCCAGGTGCACTGTTTATTTTTGCTGAAATGATTGGGAAAGACTTTTTCACTTGCTCATCTGCTTAATGACCAAGAATCAAAATGCTGACTGGAAGGGAGAGGAGGGAAAAGAATGAACAAAAGTGTTTAGTAAGGAGAACTTTAGCAGAAAATGCTGAAGTTTTCTCCTCTTGCCCACTTTGCAATAGCCTAGGTTCAAGAAGAGGCTGTGGAGTAAAGAAGAACCAGCCATATTGCAATCTCTAGAGCCTGGATTTCAGAAGATGCTGATATACTTTTCCTAAGCTTCAAAAATGTTATTAAGATCTGGCCTCAGTGAAGGGTTTTAATGTCTCCTGAACCTTACTTAGCTTAAGATTCTTCTCAAAAAACTACTTTTAAGCTGGATGTTGGACTCCAACAGTCCATGGAGAGCAATGAACAGTTTCAGGACCTTTCTCCTCTTGTATAATAGAAGTGTTTCTGCTCTAAGCTCTAGCTGTTTTTGTGAGTGTAGAAGAATGACAATCCTTCACTCTCTGTCCTGGTAACTCCCAACAATGTGTCTATGCTTCATAGTTACAGTACTCTTGAAACTGGAGTAAACTTTGTTGCTGTGGTTTGAACATGAATCTGTAGAGTCCTGAGGCTGCATGTTGTGTTGTGTGGATGTAAGTGACAGCCATAATAGCCCTGGACAAGATAATCTCCTAACCCTATTCTGCATCAGGTGCTTTAGGGCTTTCTCACGAAGAGTAGCTTCAGGTAGCAGATCCACCCTCAGTATTGGAGAAGAGGTGGAATACAGAGGGAGTCTGATGTTTTTTTCCATCAGTTCTGTCTTTGCTTCAATGCCACAAATTAAGTAACCTCTAGGAGGGGAAGGACTATCACACAGACATACCAAATGCTTCTCAGTCAGAGAAATCAGCTTCTATTTCAGCAGCCGCATGGGTGACTCTAAAGCATGATCTGTTATGTGATGTGACTGTTAAGTTAGTTTGTTTAAGTATTAAGCAGCATTTGATACGTGTGGATGTGCTACCTGAAACAATTTTTTGGGGGGGAAGGTCTTAAAGTTTTGTAAGCCCAAGTAAAAGCGTGAACCGTGAAGATTCAGCATTGAGGGTTTCCAGTATGAACCAAGTGCTTGACATGCAGTGAGTCTTCCCACTTACTGCTCTTATCCATCTGTCACTCTTGATGCTTCGTTGTGTTGTGGTGGTGTTTTGCAACCTTGGCTGAGGCATTGTTGTGGTCTGTAGGCACTGTCTGGGTGTGGATGTAATGAATGGTGTCTTACTGGAATTAGGCAGTGGATGCTGATCTGCAAAACACAAGCTGTTATCTGGGCAGTGAGCAGCAGCTTCTAGCCTTTCAGTCTGGAGGCGTAACTGTCATTGTGATAACAGCTCCCAAAGAAGAGCTCCATCCCTCCAGTACAGAGGGAACTTAACTCCTTACCTGTAAATATAAAAAATAATCATGTTGTCACTTGTGCAACATGGCACAGCCTCAGATCCCCTTCAGGCTCCCTGTGCATTGTCATGGAAGGACTAGCACCTCTCTTGAGGTAGGTCAAAGTGAAAAGGCCGATGGCAGCTGCAGTGCGGTAGTTGGTAGTAAGAAAGGGAGGTGATGGGTTTTCCTGTGGAAGTAGGTTGGATAAGTAAGTGTCTCTTTAGGCTTATTGTTTCTACATATATCTTAGAGGAAACAACTCTCCGGAAAGATTTTAAATAAGGGCAGGAAGATAGCCTTGAAGTTCTGTTTTGTAATTGCTGAATAAGGGGACAGGAGGAAAGAACCCAAATCCACAGACTGAAGTGCACGAGGGTAAACCTGGACAGAAGCTGTCCTGAATGAGCCTTAGCAAGGAAGCTGACGTGACCTGGTGTTTGGCTCACAGTCATCTGTTAAATTTCTTTATACTTTGTGGCATTTGGGTTCCTACATTGAACAGATACAACACCATCATGGAATGGGGGAACCTGGCAAGGAGGTGACTTGCAGATCATATTCACAGTTACAAGGTTTTGTCCTCCAGTAAGCATAAGACTTTTCCTTTCTTTGCCTGCACAAAAGGCATTTTTAAGCACACAAATCATGCTGCTGTATACCACTGGGATATCCCAACTGAAGAGACACAGGTGTAATGCTGTCCTGCTGATACAGTATTTACACGCAGAACAGGCCAAATAAAGCAGATGGACCCATGAAATTTGGTTCAACCACTCATCCTTTTTTTCCTGCTTTCTTAGCTCTATTACACTGGCACAGAACTTGTTTCTACATTCATCAGTTACTTGAATACAAAACTGCTTTGAATACTGAATGCTTTAAATCCAGAGCTAATCTTCATCAACATAAACATTACTAGATCGATTCACTCGGAGACAGCCATGCTAAAGTTACTCCACAGAGCTCTGATGGTTCCTAATAGCTTTGTATCATCTCTTTCAATGTGTCTTCTCTGTGCATGTGCATTTTCTGTAGAAACAGATCCCACTAAAGTCTGCAGTGGAAAAGGAGCTGTGACCCTATGGGTATCTCCAACCTCTGAAGAGAATCAGAAAATCTCTTCGCCATGTCCTCAGGACTCTGAGAAACCTGAAAGTAAGTGAAGTGGGTGCAAAGTTAACTGGAAAATGTTACCTTGTAGTAACATTGTGTGAAGTCAGTTCAGGGTCTTGGGCTGTGTTTTTTGTTGTTGTTTGATTTTTAAACTAAAATTTAAAGCCTGAGGTCCTATAGCTGTTGGAAATCTCTTTTTAAAAACTAGACCAGGTTCTACATCTCCAAGGGAAGAGATGGACTCCTGTTCTCTTCCAGTGCATGACTGCTCTCTCATCAACTTAAGTTTGTTTACAGCTCCCTTTTGCTACCAGGAGCACCAAGAATTCTCCTGTAGCTGTTATTGTGGTGATTGGTTGGCTGTTTTATTTTATCTGTTCTGGCAGACTTTTATCCCAGCCAAGATGAACTAGAAAAAGGCCCAGTGGTGCTGCTTGCCACCACAGTATTCACTTGGGTTGTCAAGGGAGCAGGGGTGGCATCCCAGACAGACAGTGTCGCCACAGAGCTTTGCCATCATTCAATAGCAGAAGTGTAATTACTTAATTGTAGGAGACAGGCAAAGCATAATAAACCTGGCCAGTGTAATGGGTCTGGCAGAGAGGATGAACTCCCACAGGCAAGATGCTGTTAAGGGGGATGGGGGGTCAAACTTGCTCCTGAAAGCAAAGCACACATCATTTCTGGATGTATTGTTATAGGAAGGGTGATTCCATTAATTCCAGCCCCAATGTGCCACTTTCTGCTCTATCTTCTCCTCCCCTTCTGCTTTACCCTTGACCTTCCCTCTTTTCATGCTCCTGCCCCCCACCATTGCCTCTCACCACTGCTGATGGCTTCATAAATTTCCAGCAGCCTGAATGGCAGCGAGCCCATTACTATGGAAATGAGGTCGTTAATACTTCCTTTGCTTATTCTCTCAATCACTTTATGAAATGTACTTTGAAGCTGGAAGAGCTTTTTGTATCTAACAGCAAAATGACTAGCAGGGCAGAGGTAGTGGGGAGGAGCCCAGTGGAAGGTGGGTAAAGAGATGATGAAACCAGTGTACCCATATGCAGGGACTTGCTTGTAAAATGACATTGTTTTGTTTTTAAATTCCTTTCACGTGCATGCACTTAGTGTGCAAAACCTGATCTGTTTGTTGACAGTCCTCTGTCCCAGTTAATCATATGTAGTGGCGCTGACAAGGGTAGAAATGTCTTCATCAGCTTTCTCAGAGCTGAATATGGAGTCCCTGTGTTCCCAGTAGTGTATGGTGTTCGGACATGAAGCTGCAGCTTTAGAAAGTAGCTAGCTGGGCTGCCTTTTTGCCTCTGAAATAAGAATGTCAATGAACAATTGTTTCTTCATTGCTCTGAATGAATTGCCTTGTGTTTACAAAGGTCAGAAAGGAGGAGGGCATCGTGTTTGGGGCTGGTCTCTATGGTAATTAGGCAGCCAAGTCAGAGAGCATTTTATGTTTGAAGTGAAGTAACTCAACTCTTTACTCCAATCGGTACATGTTGTCTGTAAATGTAACAGTTTATTTTTATTTTTTCCCTTCCTTTTCCTTTATTCCTGCCCTCTACTCCCATCCCTTCCGTCCCTCTTTTCTGTGAAATGCTTAGGTCTGGAGCCAGAAAACACAGAAACAGGTACAAACATTGACTACTTATGTTGATGCTTCTGCTACTTTCTTGGAAGTATTTCTTTTTGTCTGGAGGAAAAAAAAAATCCCTTCCCTTCACTAATTCTGTAGCTGGAGGGAATTCTCTGTCATCTGAATTGTTTTTTTTCTTTCCCTTCTAGATGATTGGAGATCATCACCCAACACTGATGCCAACGGGGATGCCCAACCATCTTCTCTGGCTGCCAAGGGTTATAGGAGTGTGCGTCCGAACCTTTCCTCAGACAGCAAGCCACAGGTAAGCCTTTCTTCTGCGACTCTCAGGGTGACCTTCTGGGTTCAAGCACTGGATTCATGGGCAGACGTCCTTGGTTGAACTCCAGACTTTGCTGCAGACTTGGGTAAGTTACTGTGCATCAGCTTTTCCTTCCTGTGAAATGGGAACAACACTGATGTCAGCAGAGTGCTGTGGAGCTTTTGTGTTCAGAGAGACCACAGTGTTTCCTTGGTGGATGAAGAAGGACAACAGTGCTATTTGCTTGCAACAAAAAGGTGAAGTAGCCATCTGTTAGTTTGTCTTCTGTGTTTTCTAAAGGTTGAGCAGGCTGAAATAAGTTGTTTAGGATGGGCCTGACATTACTGGGGAAATGCCTTTCAGTTTTAATACTGTAACTGTAACAAGCCTCTTAAGGCTGTCAAGGGAAAGATTATATTTGTACCTTAGAATAAATTGTGAAATGAATCAATTAAAAGAAGATGTAACTTCATCCTTTTGAGTGAATGGTCTGCACACAGGTGCTCTGAATGCTGATAAGTAAGCCCTTTGTTAGAAACTGTTTTCTTATGTGAAATGGAGAGCCACTGAAAGCCCTGTCCCCTGCTGGGGTGACTGCTCCCATCATCAGCAACCTGTAGTAATGTCACAGAGCAGACACTGTTCCTGAAATTTTTAAGTGGAAGATGGCACAGTTCAGATGAAGACTTGGGAAGGAGCAGCATCCTAAAAGAGAGACCTATTTTCTGGCTGACATTTACAGTTGGTCCTGTAGTCACTTGCTGATCTTACTGATGAACAGAGAGAAGACTTAAGCATGTAGTATTCCTTACAGAAGTAGCCAGGACTACTGTCCAAACTGAAGTGAAATGGAACCAAATGAGAAAAGGCAATTGCGAGTAGATAATTTGTATTTTCTCATAATTTTCTCATTTTTCACTGTATAGCAATACAATGATAAAGTGAGCCTAATACAGGAAAGTGCTGTGGAGCTGACTTCTTTGCATTAAAGCTACTTTCTATAAGGAACCAAAAGAGGATGATCCTGTTCCAAAACCAGAAGCCCTTCAGAAGAAGCACTTCCCAATGCACTTCTTCAATCTTCCCTCATTGGGGATGAAGGTGAAAGAGGAGCAGCACAAGGACAGGAGTAGCTGTAATTTTATGAAAATAGTTTAGATATGTATCCATCTAACAAGATTAGGTGCTGACCCCAACCTGTCCTGTGTGGATGAATTTTACAGGTGGTACTTCTTCATATTTTATTGTTGTGAGCTGTTAGGGAATCTTCATTCCGATTGTGACTATTTCAGAAGTGATTTAGCCACTTTATGCCCATAAAGGTACAGCAGTGGTATGTATGTGTGAAACATACTTCTATAGTTTCCAGAGGGTTAATTAGCAAGAATGCAGGGAGCTGCTGTTCAGTAGGCTGGTGTTTCAGTTTATTCTTTTCAGCAGCTTATCATTTTTGGCAACTGGCAGCCAAGTAAAAGCAAAACCTCTCCTCTGCAGTTATTTTTCTTCAAAACAATCTGACTTTCAGCAAAAATTCACTGTGATTGGAATTGGAGCTGCAATTAGCTGCAAAGTACCAAAACCAGTAATGCTGTCTGCTGCTTATTTTTGTTTTCAGCTCTCCCACTCCTTTAAAATTCACTGGAAAGAGAATTTCTCCGTAGCAATCTTAATTTTGAAGGCAAATTCTTATTAACTCAATTCCTCAGGAAACTTCAATTATTCTGATTTTGTCAAAAGCATTTTTAGGACTGAAAAAATCCTGAAAAAAATTCAAGGACCAGCTTTTCAGTAGCAATAAATCCTGACTTCTTACTTGGACAACTGCAGTCTATTGTATTCACATCTGTTTTCCTTAGCACTGGCAAAACTTCGTCATGTTCATCTTTTGGCAGTGCACTTTATGAGAAGTGGAGATGGTCTAGAGCTCTGAATTTGGCTTTGCAATTCAGATGAACTCTGTGCTGGGAAGTATTTGGTTACACTGACATATGCCTGGGTTTAGTTAGGCAGGATATTAAATCTTAATATGGAAATGTGTAGGCAGGGACTTAGAGCCGGATAATGTTTGTGTGCTGCAGTGAGGAGTGCTGGGAGAGGCTCTGTGAGATGATGCGAGTGAGTTCTGTACTGGCCTTCCAGATACTGTATTTACTTTTTGTTCTTGCTGTATTAAAACCTGCTTAACCCAAATCTAATGACCAAATTCATTCTTCTGATTTATTTTTCCCTCCTTTTTCCTTTCATTTGGTGCTGCTTCCTCTCTCCCTCTCTTGCTTCTTGACTCTGCCTGGTCAGGCCCTTCCTCCTCCCCGTCCTCCTCTCCCCAAGGAGGAAAGCTTTGCATGGCGTCCTCGCACTGACACTAAAGCAACCAACCTGCTGCCAGTGCCCATCATGGATTGCGTGTACCTGAATGCACCCAAGCCTTCTGCTCAGCGTGCATCACTAAATGCCAGCGCACGGTGTTACTTCTCATCACCCACCCCCTATGGGGCAGTCCCCAGCGGGAAGCAAGGCTTGCCAGCAGGGCATTTTCCTTCTTCAGGTCCCAGAGATATGGTGCATGTTGGGCAGCCACTCTTGGAAAGTAGCTCCTCATCAAATGCATCATCCTTACAACGCAACCCTGACAGGGCAGATCCCAGTAGTAAGGCTGGAATGAATTCCAGTCATGAGACGAAGGCGGATAAAAAGGTCAGCAAACTATATGTAGCTTGTTTATCTAACAACACTTGCTCGGCCACGTCTGAAAATTCCACTGGCACCACACATGACCCATCAGCCAGCACCAGTTTGGGAGCTGAGGTCACTCAGGCACCAGCCACCGATATTGTTTTCTCTGCAACGGGAAAAGCTCTTCCTGCTCCTCCTCCTCCTCCTATTCCTCCCAGGCCGTACTTTTACATTGTCCTCAATAAAGACGCAGTTAGTTCTGATCCGGGCCAGCCCTCCTGGACTCAGTCGTCACCTCCGCAAGCTTTGAGGGACAGAGTGCTAGAGCCCCAGAGCACAGCTGCCACAGAGAACAGAATGAGAAAAGAGCCTTACCTTACCCAGCAGCGGCAGCCGCCATACAAGGCAGTGGGACGCAGCATGGTACATGTTTTCTACGTAACCTTGTTTTCTTTCAGCCATTTGAATGGTTCTTTAATTCATTATAATGTTTCCTTAATGCTTTGTCTCCATCCTTCCTAATTTCTGAGCATCTGATACACGACCTGAGCCTTTGTGGTCCTCTACTCCATGATATTTAACACCTCATGTCTCCCCAACATTGATCTGTGTGTTTGTTGTGTGCATGTTGTTTGTAGGGGGATGGGTTGGACTGGCTAAGATCTTGCTATTTTAGGGAGGTGTAAAAGAAGCTAACTCTGTTACGTGTTGGTTAGTGCTTCTCAAGTGATGGGTGAGTGCAGCACTGTTTTGTGGTTTGATTTAGCCTCTCTACAAATGACAGGAGAGAGGGGTGGTGAGGGGATGGAAGATGCTATTTTATTATTATTATTATTATTTTGGTAAAAAAGCTGTGTGTGTGCTTACAGAGGCCATTACTGAAAGACTGAAGAAATATGTTTCTCTAGGGAAAGAAAGTCTTTTGGGGCTTTGTACTATTTGGGGTGCATCCTTGCATGACACTATATGGCTGCGTTAGACTAAAGTTCCAATCTTCCCCTTTGCATAACAACACCTTGTTTCCTACAGGATGCCACTGCCACCACAACTCAGCCTGGGGTTATAGTAGTCCCCCTTGTCCAGATTAATCCAGACAGACAGCAAGAAGGCAGCTCCAGCACTCCTCCACCGCCTCTGGTTCCTTTCGGGCAAGGCTCCGTATTCCCCGAGACTGTTCCTCCTGGCACACCCTTGACTTTTCCGACTCTAGATGATTTCATTCCCCCACATCTCCAGAGGGGTTCCCACCATAACCAAGCACCCTCTGCGTCTGGCACATCACTCTCTGTTTACCCGAAACTTCCATTCTTCTCAACACCACCTTCACTTGTACCTCCGGTTACGGGGGCTTTGCACAGGGGCTTGAAGCCTGAAATCACTGGAGTCATCTCACGTACAGTAAGCTTGCCAAGTACCCTTCTCACTCTTGTCCTAAATTTGTATTCCCAGATTAAAATTACTTTCTCCTTGGCATACTAAACTTGAGAGGAGTGATGACTCACTCCCTGCTAGCAGCATGACAACTGAAACCTTGTTTACGTCCTGTGCTAGTGCATGCATATTGCCTGCCCTGTGCAGCTTTGGACTTCTTATTGACTTCTCGTATGCAGCATCTGACTGTCTACTTCTCTATCCATTCTGCTAGGTGCTACACATTTTAGGAGCCTTCACCAGCCTTTGCTAATAATTAATTCTGTGTAAACAGAATAGCTGCAACTAACTGATCTCTTCAGGTTCTTTTAATAGCATCATTAATTGCGTTTGAACAACAGTGGAAGTAGTAATAGCAGACCAGTTAAAGGTTAGGGCTGGCTTTCTGTTCCACTTGAAGCCGTAAGACTGTATGATATCTACAGAAATTCCTGTTGAAGGCAATGTAGGATTGCTGCTGATATCCAATGACCTACAAGCAATACTATCAGTTACTTGGCTGAGACTCTTCCAAGTTTGTAGGCACCACAGGATAGGTTAGGATCAGAATGTCTCTTCAGTACCAAGTTGCCTGTCTTTGACTGAATTCTTCAAATTTTTCAAAAAGTATTCCAATAATTGTAATTGTGGTCTTCCTGGCTTAGATATTTTCTCTTTAAACTCATAACCTTCTATTAAAAAGTCCTTCCAAACAAGGAGGAGAAATAGCTCTCAGTTGAAGTTTCAGAAAAAACAAAAAGTACAAGGAGGGGTCAGATACTGGAAGTCTTAAAACCACCAGCTTTTTTTATATGCTTTCTCATGGGGTAAGCAAGAAGCTCAGCAGAACCTCCATCTCTTATGATGGCACTTCCTTTGGCCTTTGACTCTATAGAGGTCAAACAGGTGCCCCAAACAGGCATATGGGGCTTGGGGGAAAAGGAAAAAAACAACTGAGGATGATACTTTAGAAAGTTCTTGGCATTGGCCTTTCTGTTTCTATTGGAATTAATGGAATTTTACTGCTGAGAACAGTGTGTGAAAAGTGAAAGTATTTCTCTGGAGCCAATCTGCAGGCACTAGGAAAATTCAGCAGACATCCAAATACTGGGGTAGTAGTGGAAATTTTGGTCTACATGATTTTCATGAGATGAGAGTTTTGAAACTTTACTTTTATGCATGCTCTGTGATCACAGAGCAGTTTTCTTCAGTAATTTTAGTGCTCTTTGCTCACCCAGTTTGATGACTTAGCTGGGACTCCTAAGGCTGACTTGACCTGACACCCTTCTTCTTTTAGGTTCTTTATACATTAGCTATCAAAATTAAGCTCAGATGCATCACTCCTACTTCTCTCTAACTCCCTCTGCCCTTCTTCCAAATTGCATTGCTTGGAATTCTATTCCAAGCCAGCAAAATGGGGTTAGGTCTCTGTCTTAGAGACCTTTGTTTCTGGAGAACCTTCTGTTCTGTCCTTATGAGTTGTCCATGGCCTGATCAGAATGATTCTTGGAGGAAGAACACTTCCATCCAGCAGAACTGGATTGTTTTGCCCTATTTCCCCTCTAGGTTAGATTAACTGTAGATGGTGCTTCTGTTGATGGCCAGTTCTCACTATTACTTTTTTGAGCTCTGGCCCTTCCTCAGCCCCTTACCTTATCCTGTAAGCCCTTTCCATTGACACTGGTGGGTGTGAGGGCACTTAGCCATAAAAACCCGGAGAGATGATTCTTCTGGATTAATAGTCTGTGTATTTATTTATTTTCAGTACTGATTTAAACTCTTGTTTGAATGCTCAGCTCTGTTTACAGATCAGTGGCCTGCAGCATTCCAGTCTGACAGTGGAGCAGCAAGAATGCAGAAATTCCACGTTCACTCTGTTTAGATGCTTATTCCCCATTAACTTTAATTGTAGTTGTGCATCTAAATTCCGTGAGAAGTTTTAAAAAAGTCTCAGCCTAAACTGCTGCACACATTCTTAGGCCATCACCCCTTTGTTTTTGTTGGCAATAAGGTAAAGAGAGAGCCTGATATCCTTTGACTGAGAATTTTCAAAGATGAACTAATTTTTAAGTTTCCCTGTGGGCCCAGCCTGTATTTCTACAGAACAACCAGAGCTGTGGTGATACCAAAGGTGGGTTTGAAATTCATGAAGAACGGAGCTTGCTACTTTAGGAAGGCAAGAGTAGCTTGCTATCCATGTTCCAGCAACAAAGTTATGTTGAGTATCTTCCTTAGTAGAGTCCTACTGTTTGTCATTTGTCTGTTTTTCATGACTTTTTACCATGTAGATGTCACAGTCTCCTGAGTGATGGTGCTAACCTTATTTCTTGGACCTTCCTTACCAAAGCAGCTAGAGTAATGTTTCATTCTAGAACTGCATGAGTTTTGCATGCCTGATTCTTGCTATGAGAGGAATTGTTTTAAAACAACAACCAAAAAAAAATATATTTGTGTGTGTATGTATAAGGGAAGGATGTCTGCCTCTTTTCTTACAACTAGAGCTGCTTGTTTCTGGCACCCTGTGTTTGCTCTAGAGAGCCTGCCGGATTAATCTAGTGCCTTTTTTTGGGGGGTTGGAGTCATGAAACCCAACACCAAAGAATTATACAACTGCCTTAGCAAACTAATTGCATTAACAAGAAGCAGAGTACATACATGGAGCAAGGTAATGCTCATGCTTATGCCTTCTTACTAAAATTTGCTATGATTGTGCTTCTTATTCAGTCTCAAATGGCTTTTTTTGTTCCCAGATTTTCCCAGTGCTGCAGATTTCCTGCATGCTGATGATAATGTATTGCTCTCCTTTTCAGGACCCAGGTCCTGCACTAAATGAAGTGACCCAGCCTAGCAGTGGCACTGACTATCCAACTTCCTTCACATCAATCAACAAGTCATCTTCTGCCTATCCCTCTACCACAATCGTCAATCCCACTATTGTCCTCTTGCAGCACAATCGAGGTAAGGAGTCTTCCAGATAGATATATAGGTTCGAACTGAGTAACCTGTTAAAGTTGCAAGGAACTAAGGAAGGTCTGTGCCATGGACAATGAAGTCCATACTACTAATGGGTAATAAAGATGTTTCCAAGAAGTGTTGGGACTGCAGCGTGCTCCAGGTGCACACAGGTGACAGGTTAGAAGTGTGGCACAATGCTTACTTTTTCTAATTAGTACATGTGGATCAGTAGCTACTTAGATGCTGGGGAAGATGTTTCTAAGGGGAAGTATTAAGTTATTGCAGGTAACAGCTTATCCCTCATTAGGTGTTTTGTTGTGGTGTAAAGGCTATATACTGTTGTCTGTCAGTACAATCGAGATAAACTGAGGTAGGTCCTCCTGTACTGGAAAAAGGATGAGCTATTTCTCAGCTACTTCAGTGTGGAAGCAGCCATATCTACCCAGTAGTAAATCAACCGATTGCCAGTATGTTTGAATTTGGCAGCCTGTTCCTCCCTCCACAACTTATTAAACTCAGATCCTTGTTGCAGTATACCCTAGGTTTGTGTATGAACAAAACAACTTAATAAACACAAGACAGCTCATACAAATCTTTCTCCACCTCACCACAGCTTCTTCTGAATGGATGGTAATATCTCTTTATCTCTGGTGTTAGAGGAAAATTTTTCCTTCTTCTCTTCAGTTCTCCTGATGACTGGCATTATGTCAGCCTCCCAGTTGGTTTTGCATCACCAAAGGCTAGTTTGTAATCTGCATCACACAGATGCAGTCCCAATTTGTTTTGGTTTCTAGTGTACTTGGGAAACTCCAAGACAGGAGGAGGAGGAGTTTCATCTGCAGTGCTGAAACCTCTGTTTTGTGAAGAAGGAAAATCAGGAAATGGCAGCAAGACTTGGCACTCATTTATATCAGTTTGCTTACCAGCATTTGTTGTTCTGTTCCCTTGCAGACAACATGTATATTCTTTTCTTCAGCGCCTCTGTTAAACAGACTACTGTCTTTAGCTCCAGAGTTAGTTACTGTGCTGTAGCCTAGCTGATGGTATCACTCATGTGAGTGGGTCATATCTCTTCCTTTCTTCCAGCATCTGAAGAAACTTTTTGTTCTCCTGAATGAGGATGTCTGGATTCCCAAATGTTTTATCTGAAACAACCTTTTTCTCTCAAAGCTTTTTGTTGCCTTCCTTAAGAGGGGTTACTAATTCTAGTGGGTTCTTATTATAAATCTGGAGCATTTTAGAGTGTGTGCCTCCCAAGGATATTTTCTCTATGTAGATTTTAAGAGCATGACAAATTTGTATAATATGATGGTCCGCACACTCTGGCTTTGAGACAAGGGATGTCAGGTTGTTCACTTGATTAATTACCTTCGTTGACAACAATTTTATTCTGTCTTGAACATCTCTTGCCTCTGCCTATCAGGCCTCGTAATACTGTAGGCTGATGTATTGGAGAGCCTTATAATCGCATCTTTGTTGACTGTGTTATAGGTCACAACTTGTTAAGCAGCATAACTGAGTCTATAAAATATCCTATTCAAACATGTTTTCCAGTCCTTAGAAATCAAACCTGTAATTTGTAAGGATCGTATTGAACTAGTTTGAGAACACGTCTTCATCATCAGTCTGTACTAACTGATGCTACGTGCTGCACTGTTTTTTATAATAAAAATCTCATATCAGTCATTACAGTATTTTTTCTGGGGTTACTGTCAACTTGTCAGGCAGATGTTCCAGCCATCACATTTGTGCTTTTCAAATGTTGTCACAGCATCTTTCTTCCCATCCTGTAGAGTTTCCTTTGTATTGCAAGGCATACTGAGGATGAATGTCAACAGTCCAGCAAACTGCTCTTCCTGAAACTTCTTTCTTTAGAGCAAAAAAACTGGTCTAAAATTCTTCAGTGCATTTCATATGAGCACAGTGATTATCAAATCTCTGACCTCAGTTGCTGTCATTCAGCATGGTCCGTTGTTACTGTTGAAGTGGAAAGTATTTCTCCATCAGGCACTAGGACGTCAGGCTTTTTATTTAATGAGGGGTGAAAAAAAAAAGAATGGAAATAGTGATTAGATGTGTCATATTTTTTGCCCTCTTAATAACAGTTTCAATGTGCCTATTTGGTAAAATATGAAGTCTTCTGTTAGGTCTGTTTATTCTGAAGCTCTCTTTGAATCTCTGGGACATTCTGTAAATTCTTTTTCCTCCATCATAGTTTTCTTCTACTTCCTGGCATGTATTATCTACTCATAGGTATGTTTTCTTTCTTTTCTATCTGCTTAGTATGTTGGGGATTTCTTACAGTTCCTTATGCTTCTGCCCACATCTAGACTCTCAGGGTAGTATTAAGGTTTTTTGGTAGTGTTTTGTAATATTTCTGTAATGTAGCTGATGTGGTGTTTTTAAATAGTTCTCACATCTTAGCGATCTTTTATGTTTTGCTCCTGGCTGACTGATTCATATTTGATTTCATCTTTTTGGACCGTATCCATTCAAAGCTGGTTTAGTCTCATGGCAGATAACATTGTTATTGGATTATGGCCCACCTTCCCTTGCAATAGTTAATTATATTTTGTTCTGAAATAAATTCCTTCATGTCAAGATGAGGTTTAATATAAATTCCTCTTGTGTGCTGTGAATATCCTTTGAGGAAGAAATTTCAAGGTCATTTTAATGCTGGCAATCTGAAATCTCCTGTAGTTCAGATAGTCTTCCAGATGGATAATGTGGTTTTTTTTCTCCTCAGTGGTTTATTGATTGCTCTTTGAGGAGCTAGTTATCTTATTCTCTGGAGTGACTGTTGTAGCAGACATTACCTACTGTCCTATTTTATACTTTACTTGCTGGTTCATTAATCTGCAAGCATTTAAGATCTTTTGCTGTGTAGCTGCTAAACTGAGAAACAGGTCATGACATCTGAAACATAGTAAATACAATTGCTCAGTCATGAGGAGAGATCTCAGAGCTTTTTTTTCTACCAGATTTCAGTATCACCGAGTAACATTTATGCCTATAAGCATGTCATTTCAGATCCTCTAGTTCATTCCTAATATTAGAGTAAGAATTCATTCCCTTCACATTTGTTGGTGTCTAGTTTGATGCGTTTTATTTCTGACATCTTAATTTTGCAGTAAGCATACTGAAATATTTCCTCTTCCCCTTCTGTTGGTTTCAAGCCTTCATTTATTCTGTTGCTCCTCTGGGAATTCTGAAGGCATCTTTAATCATTCCTTCCCTTTTGCCAGCAGTTGTGTTCCCCTGCTCAGCCCTTCCTCTGAGACTCTGACAAGTCTTTGGCCTTTGCTTACAGTCCCAGAACGCAAGATCAAAGATCAAATCCTCATTTGCTTAGTGTGTGCCTGGGGCTGCAAGCTGATTCTGGTCAGGTGGGAGAGTGAGATAGCAGATACATCCCCAGCTTCTGTCCATCAGCAGCTCTTTCCTAGTCTGAAACACAAGTAGAAAGATAACATCACCTTAATGTAAAAAACAAACCAAAACAACAACAACAAAAACAAAACAACAGCAAAAAGAAAAAGAAACAGCACTTCTGCTCTGCTAGTAAGGAAGCTTTTGTTAGCAAAGAAAAACACTGGTCTCCCTTGCAAAGTTAGTACGTTTAATACAAACATCCATTGAAGGCAGATTCTGCTAACAAACATACGGATGGAGAATTTTTACCTACTGCAGTGTTGCTTGGCAAGTCTCCCATGCCACCGCGAAGCACGATTATTTCCTGGGCAAGCAGTGCATGGCATGATTTATTATGAATAGTTAACAGGTGTAATTAATATGTATAAAGTTTTGTAGTCTTTGCATTAACCACATGAGCTTTCAAGAGTGTCTGCGTTTTGTATGTCGGTAAAATGTTTATTCTTTTCAAATTGCTTTCATGCATTAAATAACTAGATTAACTGCTAAGCAGTGGATAGAGCAAAGAACACAGCTAAGAATCCTTGGTTTATTCCCAGCCGCAACTCAGGCACGTTGTTTGGACATCTCCTTAGAAAGCAGCTCTATCAACTTATAAGGACAGTGAAACACCCCAGAAGATACCACAGATGTCCTAGTCTGTGTAATGTAACTCAGTAATGAAAGGCTCAAAAACAAAGTGACGTCTCTGAAACTCATTGCCTTACCCAACCTGTGCCTGTGGGCTGATCACTCAATCTGTGACTCATTAGTATGTGCTGAGACTCAGCACGACATTAGCTCAATACTTTCCTTTATCGCTATGAAATTATTGAATTATTGTTTTAAAATGCACTTTGCGTTAATGATAGCAGTTATTGATCAAGTTGGTTGACTCTGAGTCCTCAGTGTTTTTAAAATTATCTCCTGTCCAGCTTTTTTCATTCTCTCTGGTGTTTAAAAAAAGAAAAAAAAAATACTGTTTACAAATGCATTGGGCACTGCATCACGAGATTTGTGTAATCCACATGGGTGCTGTGTGGAGAAGGGGCTGTGGATTGTCACTTTAGCAGTGATCTGAAAACAGACTCTCTCCAGCAGCTGCTACCATTCTGTCTGCAGCGTATTTCTTGCCTGTCAGAAATGCAGCACTAGAGCACTTGCTGTTTGTCTCACCCAATTGTTTTGTATTTCTCTTTATTTTGTTTCTTTCTTTACCACAGAACAGCAAAAAAGGCTTAGTAGCCTGGCAGGTATGATGTGAAAGGTCTGCTGCCTCGCACCCACTGCCTCTGCTGGAGCAAAGTGCTGCTTTGTTAGCTGTGAAGTGCCTTGAGCAAACACACTTCCCTGGAACTGCAAAAGAAAGACTTTAAATGTTTGTCCTGGCTTAGTCCAGGTCACCAAATGCTTGATTTCAGTCTCTCTTCCACATGCTGCCAGTGTGGCTGTGTTGATATACCTACCTAACTCCTAGAACTGGTAGTCTATTCCTCCTAACTTGTAAGATGTACTTACCTGTTGATTGGTTTGGTTGCCTTTCGAGCCGTTAGGTTTACTGACATGGGATGTATTCTCAAGTTTCCCTGCATAGCCATTAGAGTCCATCTTGCATAGGATGGGGAGAGAAAAATCAGTGTTGATTTCAAGAGCAGAAGTATTTGTGCCAATTCCTAAGAAGTATATGATAAAATTGTAGCAGACAAGCGTGGAGAAGTGCTGCCAGCCTTCTTTCCCCTTGCAGCTGTATCTGCCCCTGCAACAGGTTCGTGAGCATCTCCTTGACAGAGAAGTTATTTTCCTGTTCCCACTCCCAAGGTCCAGCTGCCTTCAGCCAGCTCCTCTGGTGCCACACCAATTGCTGCTCTCTGCTGTGCCCTGCTCAGGTGGCAGGCTGCACGTTTCTCCCTGCTCTTTTCCTTGGTGGTGCCTCAGTGCACTCAGCTCAGCTGTGTGTCCTGCAGACAGAAGCTTCCTTCCTATTGGTTTTTCCTTCCACAAGGTGTTTCCCTTCATGATCAGGAACTCTTTTGTTTTCCAAACTAGAGATAGCTCACATTGTGGCTTGTTTGGACCCAAATGGCCCATAGCCTGCCAGTGAGTCCCATTTTGCACAGCTGGGCCTGCACCTGTTCTCACTGAGTCAGAATAACCACAGAGATACAGGTGGTCACCTCATCCCCTTTCTCTTGCATCCTTTTCCTCACAGCAGTGGAACTCTTGCTGTGCAGCCCCATGTTGCTGCTGACATTGAAGGTGCCGTGGGGTATGCAGTGTGGTTATCTATGTGGCCAGGCACCAGGTTTGGCTCTTTGATGTTTTTGAGTACCTTGGCCTGGTTTGTACCTCCAGCAGTGCTTTAAAAATCTGGAGGAGAGTGGCAAATATTCCAGTATGGAATTTGGCTGTTAATTCTCCCAGATGTAGGGAAGTGAACCAATTACAGAATAACCTTTTGCACCAGAAACACAAAAAAGACCAGAAAACAGTGTACATGCACTGACATGGAGAGAAAACAAAATGGGATAAGGTAGACGAAGATTTAATTGATGCTTTGCTGTATGATGACTGTTTTTATAAACATTATTTCATTATTATTATTATTTTTAGAAGAGAAACCACTCAAACACAAATTCTTCATGTACTGATTTTTGCAGGCCAGAACTGTGTTTGCTCAGGGTACCAGTGCTTTGCTGTGCATGAGCCCCTCCTCTGCTAACTGTCCCTCTCAGATTTCTTCACATTTAATGGCTTTGGGCAGCATGTTGATGTGCATGTGAACAAACCTCTATCTTCAATGCATGCAGTGATATAAAGTGAACAGGCTCCAGCAAATCCTTGATGAGACAGACTGCAAAATCACTGATGTTTTCTCTCCAGAAAATCCATATAGGAGTTCTTAGCAGAGCCACAAAGGTCGTGTTGCAGCTTTCCAGAGCATAGTAGATCTTCAGAGCAGTCCAAGCTCCCTGGTTCCTTGCTCAGTGGTGCTGCATGTGGATGTCAGCCAGGCAGCATCAAGGAATGCCAGGTAGAATCAAGGCAGTCTGGAGCAAGTAGTTGTTTTCCCCACTTAGAGAGGAATCATATATATGCTACCCAACTATAGTGGGATTTTTTGTTTACAAACTCTAGTTAGGACACAGAAGTGATCCTATTGACTGTAACAAATGAGATTTTCAGGCAGTTGAGTGTAAGCAGTAAGAAGTGGTACCCTACTACTGTGTAGCTGATTAAGAATGAAATTGCAGAATCACTGATTAGACCCCAAAAAAGTCTCCAAAACCAAAAATTTTGTCTTATGTAGCAGCTGAGCCTGTCATGAGTGAAGAAATGCTAGCCTGCTTTTGCTGGTGTCACACATATTCTTGCTAGATTCCTTCAGCCTATGTGCCAGCCACAGCTGGCAAGGTCACAGTCTGTCTCATCAACTATTTGCCAGGGTTCTTGCCTTAAAAGAGTGGGATATGGTGAGGTGATGGAATGCTGGGATGAAGAAAGAATGCCTTGTTTTCGTTTCCAGATTCTGTGCCAGACAGAATAATTTCAGATAAAGTAGATTTGGCACTCACGCAAGTCAAGCCAGCCCAGGAGCCAGTGCCGAGTGAGAGGAGGCTGCTGGAGGAGAAGAGAAGAACTGTCAAGAGCCCGCAGCACATGGCTGATACTTCTGTTGATGACATTGGCATTCCATTGAGGGTAAGGCAACAATGGAAAAGTGACCATTGCAAAAACCTGGGCTGGGTTCTGCCTGTCTTGAAGCTTGGGGAATTTGCTGAAGATACAGAGGCTGCAGAGATGTAAGAGAAGATAGAATTTTAGTTCCAGTGCATATTATTATGAACTCTTCTATCAATGACTCAATTTCAGCATCATGAGAAAAAAAAGTAAATATGAGTCTCTCTTTTCATCATATTGGAGAACATTGTTCATTCACTGCTAGCAGTGAAGGAGGATATTAATTTTGCATTATTTTAGCCATCTTAAAGGCAGTTATCTCTTCTAAACACTGTGTTTAATTTCATTCAACTATCAAGTGAAATTACAGTGAAAAGAATAATGCACCCATAACAACTAGTGTCTGGAGAGACTTGAACACTTCATGTGCCCATTGGACACAGAGCACGAATGATTAAATTACACAGTGTCTACTTCTTGGTGAATATGATAAGATAAAAAAAAAAGACTTTGAAAGACTGGTAGAATTCATGTTTGTGATTATTATTTGTGTGCTGTGTTTATTTCCAATAGAATACAGACAGATCAAAGGACTGGTACAAGACAATGTTCAAACAGATACACAAGCTAAACAGAGGTACTGTATAATGGGTCATTTTACTAACTTTACAAGACCACCTTAACAACGTTTTTAGTGCATGTGAAAAATCGTACTATGGATATTCAATAGAAATGTTAACTAGTTTTTACTCTGCACCACAGAATTCAACCAGTGTATTTAAAATCTCTTAAAACAAAGGTAAGAAAGCAGTGAAGTCCAAAGCAAGGTCTGATTGTTCTGAGAGGTTTACTGCAGTGCCTTCATGAAATCAAGCGTACTATTGAGTGTACAGAAGGCTGCCATTAAATCTATACTTAAGAAACAGATCCCTGAACTCCAGTATTAGCAGCTGCCCCACCCAACACTTTTGAATGATATTAAGTTATTACTGAAACAACTTTGCTTTAGTACCTGCTTAATAGAACTTGGTTTGAGGCTCACAGATACCATGGGAATGATTTCCACTGATTCTGAGCAGTTCAGAATCTGAATTCTGCTCTTCAAAACTTCAATTTTTTCTTCATTCATAATTCAGAACTGTAATAAGCTCTTGCAAACGTGACGTTTCATGTTTCTATTAAAGTTTCATCGTGGTGAGGGACTCTACTACTTCGAGGCCCTTCAGTGCCTGGCTGTAATACATCCATGTTCTTTCTTCTGTGTGAGAAATGGCTGCAGCAGTGTTTGCAGTGTCTGAACAGGCTCATATGCAGGCAAATGCAATCCAGAACTGCGCTTACATAACACTGCTCCAGTTTTGCATGCCACTGCAGGTGCTGTCGTGATGAGCTTTACGCATATTTAGGCACCGTGTTGTATTGAATAGAGTGAGAAAGAGTTGAACCATTTCCTTACCCCAGTGCTCCTAACAGAGGTTCTTTAGCTCAGCCAGAGCCAGTACTTCTGAATATGAAGAATAAATTCAGTTATTTCTGCTTCCAGGATCTCCCCCAGGGCCCAAGAAGGCATCTGGGTAGTGTCATGCTGTATGATCAGCACACGAGGAACTGTTCTGCAGCTTGTGTGGATTCTTGTCTTGCCATTCTTCCCCTTTAAATCTTTACTCTCTATTCTTTTTTCAAATCGTGTTCCTTTCCTTAGACACTCCTGAAGAAAATCCTTATTGCCCTACCTACATATTTCCTGAACTTCCTGAAATCCAGCAAAAACCTGAAGGTACCAGAAGCATAGTCAGAGTATGTGTTGTCTCGTGCTTTGAGTTAACTGTACTGTAGCACCATAATAGTAACTAGATTCAGGTCTAGTCATGCCCAATATACCTTCTTGTGTAATGTATAAAGTAATTAAAACTTTGCTAATCCGTTAATCCTTTTTTAAAGAGTGATGATGTTTACTCAAGTGTTATTAAAATAACAATAAAGCCAAATGGTGGTAGGAAGTTGGGGGATGAAGCAGAACCTCCACTTCACTGTGGATAGCCTCAAAATCCACTGCTTTTCTCTGCTGCAGAAGACAATCCTTATTCTCCTACATACCAGTTTCCTGCGTCTACTCCTAGCCCTATCTCTGAAGGTAATAATGAAGGACCATCCATATTTTTCTGCACAAATGCTGCCTTGTTCATTTATTTTCTTCCTGGAGTTTTTTCTAGTTGCTGAACATTATGCTGCCTCGTAATTTTTTGCTGCACTGTAAGCATTGCCTTGACTGTATGATGCCTTTTTGGCTTTGCAGTGCTCCTCTGGCTTTCTAACTAGTAGTTGACTAATGCTACAGACCTGAGGTTTGCTTGGTTTTGTGCGCTTACCAATTATACTTAGCCATATGCGTGCAGTGATTACTTAACATGCCTAAAATGCTGATATACATGTAAAGATGTGATTTAACTCAGATTTCTCTTGCTTTTCTTTTGGATCAACACATTTATTTATTTATTTCTTATTTTGAATATTAACATTGTATTAGGGCCAGACCAAAATGCCACTGAAGTCTATTGGTGAACTGGCTGCTCGCTTCAGTGGGTTTTGGATCAGTCCCTCAATGAAGTCCTTTAAAATAAATATAACCTGATAACATGGGTTCAGGGCTGGCCTTAGGTGCACTAGCATATCTAGGCAAGGGCAGAATGTGATGGTCATCAGCACATGTTGTAACTTACATCACTGTCTTTACATTGGCCTCTTCATGTGCTCAGGAGATTCCTTTAAATTTCAGGTATAAACTAGATTTGTCTGTCATGCTTCAGGGATGGCAAAATTGTATTTATTGCAGTAGTAATCCTACAATTGTCTGCATATATATGAAAACACTTATAGATTAGAAACATTGGAATCCTCTGCAGGCATTGGTCATACAGGTGTTTACTGATCAGGGAGGTGTGGTGGTTGCGACAGCCTTGTTTGCTTCATGTTATGGTACTGCTTAACACCCTGCCATTTAGGAACTTGCCTACATAGCCTGTGCCTCAAGCCAGCCCTGGTGAGTTTATTAATTAACCATTTCATTCAGTATTTGTATTAAGGATTTGGTGGGAATTTTATAAAAAGAAAAGTGTATGAATCTGGGTTCCAACTGAAATGATCAAAGATGAGATGTAAACTGCATTTCACTGTGAAAATGAGTGCGTATTAGTGTCAAACAGATATCTAAGATACTTAATTTTTGGTGAAACCTGCAGGTGAAAAGTCTTGTCTTGCATATTACAGGGTAGTATAAATTATTTTCTGTTGGCAGGATGGCATACTGATACAAATGAGAAACAGAACCTAAGTAACTGGAAATTTTGCAATTAATTTTTTCTTTTGTAATGAAGTTTGAAAATCCATCTTGCTCTTTATCTTAACAAAACCAGTTTGTAAAGCTAATGAACTTACTGCAGTAAGAGTTTGGTTTCTCACAAATTTCCTCTATGTACCTCAAATATGCAGATGAGAGTGATTTGCTGGTTTGGGTGGTTGATACTTTATTGGACCAAATATTTGCTCATTATTTACAATATATTGGGAAATGTTTTTCAAATACCTGCTTGGATTCTTTTATTGATGAGGAATCCAGAATTTATGATGGTATAGCTGTGTTGGAGTCCATGTTTCATATTCAGAATACATTTCAAAATGTTCTGTTCTACTGCAAAGGGCTTATACAGAGATAGGTTGAAACCTCAAGCTTTAGATTTGCATACACTCTGAGTATTAGTCTTTTTGCTCTGGGTTGTGTGAGATCTCCTGAAGACATGAAGATTGGATTCTTCTCTAAAATTCTTTCAAAGTCTGAGAATATTGAAATCTAGGGATTTTAGCCAACCTTAAAAGCAGACAACAGCAACAACAAAGCACTCTATAGATTCTCTTGGAGCTGCCAGGGAACTGCCACTTTTTGCAAAAAGAATCAGATTTTGGAAGTATGATTTGGCAGTGCCCAGCTCCACTAAGTGTTGCATAGATAGGATGCTGCTCTAAGAGCCAGGAGATCCTGCTCATCTCTGATTTAAACTTCATGGGGTCATTCCAGATTTGTGTTTTACTTTCATTGCTATAAGATAGAAGAATGCCTGTGTTTTCTCCCTCAGAAATGTTCTCTCAGAACATTATCATTTTCTTCCTCATTACTTTAGCTATTAAAATCTTTGAAACTGGAAACTTAGCATTTATCTGAAATTATTTTTTCCTGCCTGAACGATGATACCTAATGAGTATTGACATTTATTTTTGAGTAAGTAGATCAATTTTTTTGATTGTTCATTAGCATTAAATAATATTGAGAGCTTGAATGGATGTGAAGATGGTATTAGATGTGTTTATATCTGTTTGTATGTGCAGATGGAGATTTACCAAGTATTTTGGTATTTGTATAAACCCACTTTTTATATAGCAATAGCAGTCAACTTTTTCAATAATTCACTGTTATGATATTAAATAGATCAACATTTGTTCTCTGCCGTTTTAGTCTGAAACATGGAAATAGGCCTGAAAATTGACCTTAATTTTTTTTTTTTTTTTTTTTTGCCTGAAGGCTATAATAAGCATACCAGAAATCAATAACTGTATTTAGAACTTAAACCTTCTAATTCGTTCACCAAGAGAAATTCAGCAGCGGGGCTAAGAGTTAAGACCTCTTTGAGCCTTTCTGAAAAGCTCAGTTAAGCGACGAGTGCAAGTTCAGGTCAGCTGTATTAGCCAAATTGTTTTTCCAGCAGATGAGGCTGGATATAGAAGCTACTCCTTGAGAGAGAAGCTACAAATTGTTTCAGTCTGCTGATTGACATCACTAAGTTAATGCGACAAATGTACAGCATGTTCTTTTCTTCATCTATTTCTGTTTTTCTCTATTTTTATCTGGCTATTTCAGTGGTTTATTCACAGAGCTGTTAGTAATGTCTTTACTCATGATTTTCTTCGCAGGCGTTGCATTTTATCTTCTTGTGTTTTGCCTTGAAGTCTCTCAGATATCTCAAGTATACTTCCCTGATAGTTGGAACCCTCATTGGTAGAGAAAGATGATGGGTCTATGGATCCAGTTTCCAGTTCTGATCCTAGCTTCTCATGCTATTATGTGCAGTTCATTGAGGATTTATTTCAAAGCATGCTGAGTATGGTGAAAAAGATACTTCTAGGTTTTTGATAATCAGAGCTGCTCTCTGGACGTCACCTGTAGAGTGTGGGCAGTGATGCTACCATCCTCCCGCCTCTTCTAGGAGTGCACCTGCCCTGAGCACTACAATCATGACTGTCATTGCTAGCTCTTGTAGAGCTGCTTGAACCCCTCTATTGCATTCTATAGATATATCTTTTCTATTCAAAAGGTAAGCTCTTTAGAGCAAGGACAGTCTCTTAGTGCAAGTATACATGCGTGTATTGTGCCAGGAATGTTATCAATGTTTAAAGATAATCTGAGTCAGTGAACATAATTCAATTTGGTGTGCTACTTAATACTAGCAAGATGGCCCAGTGATTACTGTGTGTGATTGAGAACAGGACTCCTCAGCTCTATTATTGTGTCTAGCACCTAATGAGTTATTTTAGGCATACAGTTCAGCATTTAGATTCTCAATTTATCTTTCAGCTTTTGATAAAGTGGATTTAATAACACTTGCTCTGGAGGCGTTTTGTGACAAAAAGTGATTGTTTTTTAAAGTGCTTTGAGAGGCTGGAGAAAGGTATTAGTATAAGTACTACATTAATATTTATATCTAATCTAGGAAGCATTTTTAAATGCAATTTAAATCTCATTGGCATTTTCTTTTTTAGGATCCTCTCTGTGGTAGGTATTGGGTGTATTACTCTGTAGTTATGGCCAGTGTAAGAATGCCAATGAAAAGGATTTCTGATGCTTCATTTGGAGGGCTTTTTCAGCTCACTTGCAAAATGCTTTTGTCTTTCAGATGAAGATTCTGATTCATACTCTCCTCGTTATTCCTATTGCGAGGACAGTAAGTAATTCCCACCTCTTGTATAATATTTCAAACATAAGGGGGTATATGGAGTATGTATTTGTTGGCCTCTTATCCAGTTCACCAACATCCCTGTATTTGATTTATTCTACAGCCAGAAGCCAGCCTTCAGTTCCTCGCTCCAAGAGTGAGATGGACCATATTGACTCAGAGAAGGTGTTTAAGAGGTCTGCCACTTTGCCCCTACCAAACCGTACTTCATCGCTGAAATCCAGCCCAGAAAGGTGACGCGAACTAAGATATGTTTGGATCAATAGTGGCAGTGTTTGAAAGTTGTGAATAGGAAGAGAACAAATGTGGAAGATTTAAGTTCACAACTCCAGTTGTTTTTGGGGAGGCGGAGGTGTACTTTTAACTCTGACTCGTCTGGAGGACACTAATGAACTCCTTTGTTGCTGCAGCTTGCTCTCTCATTGCATCATTTATTGAGCAGGCATCACACTCACTGTTACATAGGTAGTTTTCTGCTGGGGTGAGGAGTGTTTCCTAGGGTATTGTCTATGCACAGAAGCACAGTGGAAGGTCTCTGCTTAGTGTGACACTGTAAAGGTGCCTCAGAATACAAGTGAGCAGCAATAATTGCAGAGGGGCAAGAAGTGAATTTATGCTGAATCTTGGTAAAAGTTTTTTATACTGCCCTTCTCTGAGTCACCTCACCCATATGGACTCTACTGGAAGTAGATTCTAGTTAGCTTTCATGATAACTAGTAAGCTTTCAAGATGATTTCTGTCCTGATCTTTTGCTTTGTTTGTTACTAAGCATTTAAAAACTCTTTCTAAGAATAATGAATGCATTTACCAAATGAAGGAAAAGCAAAAAGGGCAATGAATATTGTATGTCCTGTGGAATTCTCCCAGCTTTTGAATTGTTCCTCCTTCCTTCACTAATTTCCTCATGCTTTTAATGTTTTTCACTTGATGCCTCAAATGTGTAATGCTGTGATTTGAGAGCACTATTTTGGTAAACATCTCAGGCCATAGAACTGATGGAAAACCCTCCTTACACAGAAGTTGAAGGCATAGTACATTGGCCCTCTGCAAAAATTCTTGCAAATGAAAGAGTTATGATAAGTAGTGCTTCCTGTTATCTAGTAACGAAACAATGTTTCACCAGGGCAAAGTTTCTCTGGGGCTGGAATCTTAAGCCATCAAGTTAATTCCAAGCAGTAATGATTAACACTGTGGAAGTTTGCACAGTGTTGATGGTCCAGTCATTTTGATTATCATCTTGCCTTACTTTAAAAGAGAACTTACTTGCCTGTGTCTTCCAAAATCAGTGAAGAAAGAAGGGTATCTCAGTGGGGGGTTCCTATTGTCAACCGGATCAATAGGGTAAGTGGGAGCAAACCTGGAGGGCAGTAGTTTTGGTTAGATGCTGCAGTTCTGTGTGATGAGGTGAGAGCTCAGTGGCATGGCAAAAATGGAGTGGTTTAGCAGGAGAGATTTAGTCTGAGTTTTCCTCCAAGTTTGGACGCGTTGGCATTTGTGAGCTTAATTTGAAGTCCATCGTTACACTATTTTCAGTCAGGAAAGACATGAAAGTCTGACACTTCATTGAAAGTATGAGGAAGACACCCACTCCATCGTATTCCAGTGGTTTCAGCATCTGAGCTGTGTCAAATTCTGCTTGTTGTAGAAAAACAAATATATCATCATGAGTTCTGTCTGAACTGCTCCTCTTGCAGCACGTTTCTATCCAGAATGAAGAAAGTACTCTAATGAAACCAGGATTAGCAGGGGAAGGCGCCTGTAAAAAGAAGTACTTGCTTCCATGGAAACCACAGTGATTTGTGTTAACTGATCTTTCTTTTCCCAGGACGGACTGGGAGCCTCCAGACAAGAAGGTGGACACTAGAAAATACCGTGCAGAGCCCAGGAGCATTTATGACTATCAGCCAGGAAAGTCCTCAGTTCTGAACAGTGAAAAGATGGTAATGTTTATCTTTTCCTAGAGTGTGCCTTAATCCTGTGAATGTGATATACTTCCTGAGTGCTTGTCCAGTTCCATTCTGATAGGATTCCTTACGTTTATATTGCAGTGCTCGTGTGATGTATTCTGTTATATTTTGTTTTAAAAACTGTTTTGCATAACTTAACATTGTCTCTCTTTATAAAGCAAAATCCATGAGGACTGAGAGGCTGCTTTACTTCTGGATATGTTGTTTTCTGTGTTAAGTATGGATCACTAACCCTAGTTTTTAATCCGTGTTTGACACTGACCTCTGCAGCAGCTGTGTCGCCAGCTGTACTTTTTCTAGGGCACAGCAGTAGGGTTGAAAGCATTATGAAACAAAGCAGCCTGGTTCAGTTTCTGCGTTCTTTTGATGTCATTAGCTTTAAACACTAAACAACTTTTTAGAATGCCAGTAATGTGCTTCAGCGGATGCTTCTGAGGTGCTTTAGGACACAGCCCCTTGGCTACTTTCTTCCTCAGCTGGATCTCACCACTTCCATGGCAGGGATGGCAGAACTGAATGTGAGCTGACCCCCCAGCTACACCAGTGTGTGATCTGGAATATTAAGTGAACTGTTACCAATTTTAGTTTGAATTAGTAAGCTGTGAGTTGTGACAACTAGAGCAAATACAAAAATCTCACTCTGCAGGCTTGGATGAGAAGACCTGGCAAGCAACAGGGAGAAAAGGTGATGCTAACCTCAGTCAGTGCTGCATAAATCAGCTCTACCCACTTAAGGTCCTTCAGTTTTCAAGCGCAACTCTGAAAGCGCTAGGAGACACTGAGTGAGGTTATCAGTGAATAAACAGTTTGGTACGTAAACATGTAATTGTTCTGTATAGGCATTAATGCGAAGGATTTGGTTGGAATTGCTAATTTCAGGTGAGATTCTAAATGTAAACTGCATTCTATGCCTTAACAGTTCAAACATTGATCCAAACATAGAGTAAGTAGATTGATGGTCCTGAAAAGCACACTATAGATTTTATCCTGAAACACAAGCACTGAACAGCAGTTTAAATCAATAGAAACATAAGAATCAAATCTGATTTGGGCCCTGGTGTTACTACTTACTGTTTTGGTGGGTTTTCTTCTTTTCTCTCCAAGTACAATCAAGACTCATAGTTTCTTAAAGATCCCGCAACCAACTTCTTTTCACACCTGTCCCTCACTGACTTCAGGACAGTCGCCCCGATCAGTGTATGATCTGGGGCCTTTTGGTCCACTAGGCAATGGATGGCTCTCGATTGTACTGGGAGTTGGCTCAACCCAATAGAGAAAGCACCAGGCAGGAGTAGTTTGAGCTTGGTATGACAGTGCCATTTCTTCAGTCCATCGTGGATTAAGATTTCTGCTGAGCTCAGTGGCAATTTTGTCTCTTGATAAATAGCCAAGATTAAACCTTGTGACAAAAGTCCTGCATCATCTGTATACTCAAGCCTTAAGAAAGGTCTGACATCACCAGTGGTACTATTTATGCATTCAGACTTCTTAAGTTACTTAATGAAGCTGTTTAATCAGAATCTAAAAGCAGGACCATCATTCAGTGCAATTGAGAAAAACTGTACTAAGATCACCAAAGATGAGAAGAACGCTATAGCTGTGTTACTTTTGATGCTTTTTTTTTTTTTTTTTTTTTTTTTTAGCTTTAATTTCAAACCACAGATCACAGGAGAATCTTGAAATAGTAACTTGACAGTCTACATCAGTCTCATTAAGTACAACAGTAACTAGTCACTGTTTAGTAACTAGGTCTATCTTTGTGTTTCTGAGGAAACAGCGGGAGATTTGTGAATATCTCCTGGTGATCACACCAGGAGCCGTGACTATCAGAATCCCAATCCAAGACCATTGCAGGGCAATGAAGAGCCTCCCACTTACGTCAGTGGTTTTTTTTATTATCTTCTGTAACTGCAGTTACATAATGAAATGAGTACTTGAGTTAGAGTGCAATAATGGAAAAAAATGGAGGCATTGCTTTTGTTCTGCCTTTAAGAAACGGCCAAATCTTTCTCCAGGCTATAAGGGATCAGAAACGTAACCATTTATCTTTCAGATAGAAGTGTTGCCCCTCTTTCAGAATCAGTGGTATGCTCTTTCCATAGAGCCTTTTTTTTTTCTTTTTTCTTTTTTTTTTTTTCTTTTCTGTTGTGATGCCTGTTGGCTGTGGCAGTCTGAAACATCCAGCAGTGCCAAGCAATGCTGGGAACTGCCCCTGCCTCAGTAACCCCATCACACAAAGATTTGCATCAGGATACACTTGGTGTTGTATGAATAAAAGGAAATTTTCTTTTCAACTGTAGTGTTTTCTGTCCTGTCTGATTTTCCTTCATTTTAGTTCGGTCTGATTCTCTTAACTTTTATTTGTGAAGAAACAAGTAGTACTGTCTCTCTGTATCCATCTTATCAGAGAATTTTCAGAAATGTGCTTTCTCTGACCTGTGTCCGCTTTGTTCTAGAAAACCACCTTTCACCCTGTTTGCAATGTACAGAACAGGGTTTCTTGCATATTCATGTGCTGTTAAAGATGCAGTATTTTGCTATGTTTGATTCAAGTCTCACTGAATCTCACTTTTTTTGTTTGTTTTAACCAAATGATGGTTTAAAGAGATGCAACCAGTACATGTGCTTTGGTCTCAGTGGAAATGCCTGACAGTAGCAGTGGGGGACTGAGTGACTCCCAGCCCTTCCAGTGAGCCTCCAGTGAATCTGGGCAAGCTGCGTAATTTCTTTCTGTGTGAGTCTCCTGATCTGTAAAGCGCAATTCATTCATATTCATGTATCTCACAGTGATGCTTAACCGATGTTTGCAAAGCAGTTCATAGCTTTCATGAGAGATGCTACAGAAATTCCAAATTATGAGGCTAAATATCGACATTTTAGAATGGAAACTATGGAATCTGCATCTTTAACAGTTCTTTTCTGTGTATTCTTTGCATAATGTTATCCTTCTCTTTCTTCCATTCCCCTATCACCAATTCCTTTAGACTCGGGATATAAGCCCAGAAGAGATAGATTTAAAGAATGAACCTTGGTATAAATTCTTTTCGGAATTGGAGTTTGGGAAACCGGTAAGTTTGATAGTTGCGGTGACCAATCAAATCAATCTGCCTTTTTCCCCCTTTTTCTTTTCTTTTCTTTTTTTTTTTTTTTAATTATTGTCACATCTCTTTGCTAGGCTCTAAACCTGGAACAGCTGCCTTACTCATTTAAAAATGACTGTTCATCATACCACCCTGGTGTTGATGTAAAACAGTCCTTTTGTGACTGCTGAGAGTATTTTGAGACCATTTACAAACGCTCCCCACCTTCCAGCTGTATTTACCAACAAGACAATATTTTTTTTTGCACACCACAATTCAAACTGCATTTTTACTCTCAATGGTAGAAGTAACGCCCTGTTCTCATTTAGAGTCCTCTTTCAATTTTCCATCTTCTCCCAAAAAGATTTAGGATCGCTGATAGGTAGCTTTAAATCTAGGTAAATCAGTTACTTATTCCTGGCCTCACCTTGCAAACTATGGATCAATAATTTGCAGCTATCCATGACTGATTATGACCCCGTTTCCTGATTCTCTCCTTATGCATGTAGCTGCCTGTTGCCCAAATGATGTGCATCAGGCTGCGTTGAATAGCCCTGGCCATTCCCTGAAAGCGAAGGAATCTGAGAACAGAGTACTTCCTTTTCAAGTGGAGCTGTGTTGTTTTCTGTATGGGGGGAAAAAAAAGAAAGAAAGAAAAAGCCTTGATCTCTCACTCTGGAAAAGGATGAAGCAAAGCTTAATTATTAGATAGGACAAAGGACATTTTGATGGAAGAGCACATCAGTGATTAGGACTGCCAGCAAAAAAAATAAAATAAAAAAACATAGGGTCTGTATAATTTTCTCACCAATTAAACTGGTTCTCACTGATTAAACACAATGAACCTCATCATTAAATGCTGTTTAATAAGCTACTCTTACTGCACCAGAGGGTCAGCATCAGTCTCTCACATTTATCCAAGTACAGTGGTTGTTTCTTCTTTTTCTTTGAAATTGTCAAATGCCCACGCACGCCACTTTTGAGCACTGCTGAGATTTCCATCCATGTATTATAAAGCAAATGTGTTGTAGCATTCAGCACTGGTTGCAAAGCCTATTGCACATGGACACCAGAGGGCAGGTTTTCTTTAAACCTAAGCGTTGCTCACAGTTCTCACGGATACGATTAAATCCCTCTGCAGATTATAGATGTCTGAATTTGGGTGGGTGCCTATTCTTATTAGAATAGTATATTATAGAAATATACTAATATTTCTAGAAATATTAGTAGAAATAGTATAATTTCTGCTGTAAAACAGGCATGATCAGTGGCTGGGCTGTCCATTCTGTCATTGGCAACTGTGTTTTGTAGCAAAGAGCCTTCCAGCGTATGCTACATAGGCCTCAAAAGTGTTTGAGATGAACCCCTCCACTAATTTTTAGGCAGCTAACATCAGGTGAATTCCATCTCTCCTCACCGGAGCTTTAAAAGGATGTCATTCTAAAGATTTATCCCTTTACATTTTTCACAGTAACATGGCATAAAGTGAAAAGAAAGCTGCCATCCTGTGCTACTGTACAGTTAGTATTCATGGGCTCCTGCAGGGGATGAAGTTTTGTTATTACTGAGATCAGTTTCTTTCCACTTAGCCTAAGTTAGTGGAACGTGTGTCAGAGAAAGGAGAGCATTTATGCCCTTAGATCTTTTTAGAATTGGAGGTATATCTGTTCTTAGAAGTGAATGTTCATGCTTTCAGTCATGCAGCCTTGACCGTACATCAGAAGAGGGCATCTCCATCAGCCCATCTCTTATTCAACAGAGCATCTGTTCTGATAGCAAGTACCCTGCCTTGTGTGGGGCACTTTTGTTAAGGCCTGCTTTCTTACAGTTTGCCTTTAAATGACTGCCCATGTCAACTTCCTCTGCCTCCAAAAACATACGAGTGTGCACCCAGGTAAATTATACCAGAAAATGAATGTGGAACTACATACATAGTGCTTCAGCATTTTAATTGAGGATGCTATCTCAGACTTTTACTGATAGCTGCTCTTGAACAAGACAAATTTAGCAAAGCTCTCATTGAGCCCTGCAGCCACAGCCAAATAGTAGTCTTCATGTATCATTGCTCGCTTTAGCCATGATAGGACCCGATTTTTGTGACTAGCTGTGGCTAAGCCCCATTTAGATTGGTCAAGCTTACCCTGCCTAGTGCTGCAGGTAATATATACTTGTAAAAGCATGTTTTCCCCTGTTTTTATGGCTTTAATTGTGACTGTGGAACATGGACAGTAAACACCCTTGGTAGAAGGAAGCACAGGATTCTTGAAAAGCTGTGGTGTTGCTCTCCAAACATACCAGAATGACCAGGATAGGGGTTTGCATTGAGGAAAGCCTATGCACTTCCCAAGGACAGCTGAAGTGGTGCTCTGCTGGTCCAATATCCCAGATATGTTTCTAGGCGGATATGTTGATGTGTGCCTGGAGAGCATCCAGGAAGATTGCTCTGTGTAGCATGGATGCTTTTCCAGGGTGTTGCGGAGACTGAATTCCCACGTTCTCCTTCTTTCTTCCCAACCTCTGACCTCACACTCCATGGTACACTTCCCCCTCCCCCAGCCAAATTTGATGGCCAGTCAGTCTAGAGCACCACTGTCTTCTGTTGGGATTGTGGGATCACACATATGGACGCTGGACACTTCTCCCAGCCCCTGAATCTGCTCTTTGCTATGAACAGAGGGCTGAAAAAAGGGTTCATGCATGTCCTGCCTTCTTATCTCCTTTCCTCCACTTCCTCTCTCCATGTCTCAAACCTAAATCTTTACAGCACCATCTTGTCTACTGGCTGCTGAGCTCATCCCCTAGTGTTGCAGTCCAAGTTTAGAAGTGAGCCTGATTCAGACGACAGACCCAGGCTGTCTGGAAACCTGACGGAATTTGGACCAAGACTCAAATGTTGCAGTTCAATCATGCTTTCATGATTCCCTATCAGATACTTTGATAATATAGTTCTGTCAGTCAGTACGGACTCCTAGGATGATGCTGAGTTTGTCAACCAACAGAGATTACTTTGTTTGCAAACAGAGCAGAAGTATTTTGATTTTATGAAGTAAGAACAAAGTGTTTGAGCATGTCAGTGAGGTGCACGTCTGGTGAGACAAGGATATTGGTACAGCATTATTTGGGTAGGACAAAGGTCTTTCACTTTGAATAATCCTCCCTGATACTTACACGAACGTAAAATAGGAAAAACTGTATTTTGAAATAGCCTTTATTTGTAGGATAAATTATAAATAAGTCATTCCCAAACTTGCTTGTGCCCTACTCTCTCCACCAAAAAAAACACCACAAACCTCCCCCCAAAAGAGAATAATAGCAAATAACAACTCTGCATTCTCGTTGCCCCACAATGCCAACACTGGAAATTCAGCCATTTGTTCACATGGTATGTATTCAGAGTCTGGTGGGGGGGGGAAAGGTATCTCCCTTTTCTTTACCAAAGGCCCTTGTTTTACCCTTTCCTTTTGAAAAGAAGAATGAGCAAAACAAATGCTTTTTATGACTGTGTGATTTTTTTCCCCATTTTGTTTTGTGATTTTTTTTGTGTGTGTATATTAAGAATGCTTTAACCACAGCTGCGAGCTCCTCCTAGAGAGCCCTAAATCCCTTAGAGCACCTCGCAGTAATGAAGCTGTCCCCAAATACTACTGAAAGCAGCTCCTCCCAGACTGCATGTATGCTCCCTTTTACCTCCTGTGATCTCTCGATGTTTGTGCTAGAGCGGATTTATCCCTCTTTCTATCTCTCTTTCTCTGTTTTGTTGTTTGTTTGTTTTTAATTTCTTTTCAGTGTTGATGCAAATCCCCTATTGTACTCCCGCTCTGTTCTAATCCAGTTTCCATATTCTCTGTGATGTCTTCCTTATCTTCATTTCCTCATTTCCTTCCTCTGCTTTCCATCAGCCTCCAAAAAAGATTTGGGATTATACTCCTGGAGATTGCTCTATCCTTACTAGAGAGGATAGAAAGGTAATTGTGTCTCACGTACGTTGTACTACAGCATCTACTGCGTATGTGTGTGTGTATGTGGATTTCTTTTGTAACATTGCTTGGGTTTTGTGTGCCTGTGAGTGATTTTATTTTTTAAATGGGCTTGAGCTCATTTGCCTAACAAGTAGTTAGTAATTTGATTTAATAAACAATTCTTAAACCATAATCAGCAGTAGTTTAGAGTGGTGGTTTTGCTATCTTGACTTGCAATGATAATTATACTAACAGCCTATTGCCTATTGTTACAGTACCTTTTTTTTTTTTTTTTACAGGTGGGTTTTATAATTTTATGGTTTCTAGAATTAGATCCTAGCAGGCCTGCGTGTCTTTTAATTTTGAATGTTAAATGCCTAAATTAATTTCCTCTGTAACGATTGAAACACAATTAATTACTAGTGAATTTCTGTTTATTGTCCATACCATCTTTGACTGTTTCAATTAAAAAGGCTCGCTTATTTATTTTTCAGAATTAACATTCCTTTGATATCCCCTAACCCTAAGCATCATTTTCCCATTCTTCTTCTCCTTCTTTAACCAGACTGATCTAGAAAAAGACCTCTACCTCTACCAGACTGAGTTAGAGGCAGATTTAGAAAAAATGGAGAAGCTTTATAAAGCACCACATAAAAAGCCACAGAAGGTATTTCCTATTCTTTTCATGCTGCCAATCCCTGTTTCCAAACTCTCTGCTCTAATCTATTCGCTGCTGGATGATTATTAAATGAGGTTGGGATAAATAATGGTTCTGACCATTCTGACTGCATGGCTTGCTGTGTCGCTGTCAGAAATAATAGAATGTGATGCTGAGAATCCGGCTTGAAATCCATTTTCAGAAACAGTGATTTCCTCTCCCCTCACTCCCTTTCAGCTACCCCTCACCCCCACCTCTGTCCCCCTTTAGGGTTTTGAGTTCAGTGTCTGGAAAAAAAAAAAACCAACAAACCCTCTCTATTTTTCACATGAATAGGCAGCAGCAATCAGCTTAAAATTCTTGCTTAGCGTCACGTCATCATCTCGTGCCTTTCAAGCGTGTTGCCATCAACCCTCCCTTTGCACAAGCCCTGCTGCTCCCTGCTAGCAGCGTGTGCTGCCCAACGTTTGGATATTCCCCAGAGATTTTACACCATTTTCCCAACCCTGCGCCTTGCCGTGGCCTTCCAGGGCAGGTCAGCTGCTGCCGCTCCGAGGCTCTGCAGGACCCGAACCATGAAATGATAGATAAAATTGGTAACACGCCATTTTTCTCTTTTGTTGGGCTTTTTTTTTTTTTTTCTCTTTGAAACTGCGGCATTTCAGCAGGACATGAACAAGCTGCTTTTTCAAACCCAAGATTTGCTTTTTCTTCCTATGTATGAATCCTAAGGTAGATGAAGGGAGACCAAATGCAGCGTTTCTTTTAAAATTGCCTTCCATTTTTTCAGTAATGTGCCTAGGCAGCATTAGATGGATTTAAAGCAAGTGGATAAGATCTGGCTTTTGCTCTTGAACTTGTGCAGCTCGCATTGCTTCTCTTAAGTAAGGAAATGGAACTGAAATGTTGCTTTTCTTGTTAGCGCTTTGGTATTTTTTTGAATGCTTAAGAATGTATTGTGCTGCAGAAAAGTAATGTACCTTTAAAGCAGCGTTGGGCAGTGACTGGTTGGGGGGAAAGCTTGGGGAAATAATGATGAGCATGTTTCTCCTGGTCCTGGCCCAGCTGATTATCTCTTCTTGCTTTTGGCTTTATGCACAATGACTCATTGGCAGACAAAAGAATAGGCGCTGCAGAAAGGCATTGGCTGTGCTAAAAACCTGTCACTGCCCTGAAGGAATTCAGGAAAATTGTTGCTTTTCTGCAAAGATATCGGCAGCTTAAATTGCATTTCGCCTTAAACTTCCATGTCTCGTAAATGCTAATATTTGGGCGATGGAAAATGACTTAAGCAAGCCTTTTTTTTACTCCTGGCATGTAAGTGTGTATCAATGACTCCTTTGTTTGGACTTTTGCAGAATACAGCAGGTGTTACTCCTCTGGAAACTTCCACAGACCATTCTTCATAGTAAGTTTGCAAGTTGCTTTTTGATGTCTCTTTTACAGTCTGACAGCATGTAGGACACGATGTAGGGTGCTGGAAATGGGCTGGCTCTGTTTTTTGGTGATGGATATAGGCAGATGCATGTCCCAGGAAAATTCTACATGTACTTTAGATGAGTTTGGATATGATGTCTGCTCTTTGGTCTTGAATGAATTTTGTAGTGATTACAGAAGTGGTGGCACTGCTTAGATATGAATTGCTATTGTGCTAGGCAGAAACTTTTAAAAAAACAAGCAGAATTGTAACTCCATCGTGATGCAGCTTACACTAAGATATAATGTATTTGCCAACAATTTTGTTGCCTGGTAAAAAAAAAAAAGAAATTTATTTCTGTTATTCTTGTCAGATTGTCTCCTGTTAGATGTTCCCAGGTAAGCACACCAGAGGAAAAGGATGATATTTTTCAAAGGCAGTAATTTTTAGCTTCTAGGAAGGGAAAACTAGTACTGGTAACAATATCTCTCAGAGATTGAATGTGGCACTGGTTTTCTGGAAGAATACTTAAATATTAACTCTGGCTAATTGATTGGTACATGGAGCTGGTTTGCTTTGAAAGAGGAAGAAAAAAAATCCCTAGATGAAATGCTGAGCTGTGCTGAGTTCCTCCTCCTGTGAAGCTGCTGCTCCCTGTAACCAGACTGCTGCTTGGCATTTCCCAAAGGACCAAGGATCTCCTTGGTGTGCGTGGGTTGTTGGGAAAGGCATGCTCTCCTTCAGGCATCCAACTGACATTGTCGTTTGTTGTTCCCATGACTTTTTAGTTTTCTTTTGGTAGAGAGAGAGAGGTAAAATAAATGGAAATCTCCAAGATTAGCATGAATGAATAGCTTACTTTTGACAGATGCTGATAAGAATCTTGAGTTCCTGACTGTCCCCGAAATGTTACCAAAGCTACCTCTGTTTTTGGTAAGCAGGCCAGGTTTGCTCTCCTGCATTCATGTCATCTGCTGGAGCCCGTCCCAGTTCCCCCTGAAGTCTGGTAGCACAAGCTGCGCTGGTGGTTGTAGGAGTTGTTTTAGGCCTTGAAAACTTGAAAAGTAATTTATGGGACTGCATGTGACCTGGTTTTTCTTGTCCAGAAACAAAAAACTTCTTTTTGTTCTAGACATTGTGTAATTCCACTCTCATAGGCAGTCCTTTGATGTGTATGAAAGCTTTCTCTTTGCCCCGTAACTACAGCATCCATCCAAAATAACCAGATTGTGTACAGATTTATCCATAACAAGCACAAGGCTTAACCACAAGCATTTCCACACTTGCATACATTTGAATCGCCCCTGGATATCATGATGCAAACCAATCATCAGAACATTTCTGTGAATTGGCAAAAGGCTGTTTTTTAAAATTCTTATTATTTTAACTTTCTGGCAACCAAGTTTTGGCCTAGGAATAGCTTTATGTATGAGACTGCATCTTATTCTGAAGAGCTTGGTTGAGAATGCATACACTGGTATCAGATGAGCTCAGCTCAGCTTTTAGGAAAACAATCTGCCTGATTGCTTAGCAGATGTTTTGCACCTGGAATGGCCCTTTATATCATGAAATGTTTTTTGTTGTTTGGGGTTTCTTTTGCTTGTCTTCTTCAGAGAGAGAACAGTGAAATCTAGATATCAGATATGGGGGTGTACTGGCTGTCAGATTCATGACCAAGGAAAGGAATTTGTAATAAATTGTCAATACTTAAGAGCCTAAGAAATTACGGTTGTGCTTGTTTTTTACATCTGTCTCAGAATTCAGCATTTTGTTTTTGTGTTCTGTGAGGCAGGCCTGGAGTCTGGGACATGACATTTTCTGTAGTGCAGGTCTGAGGGAAAGCTGAGCAGAACCGTGCACATCTGGGAAATTTCTCTTAAAACAGTAGTGTCTGTAGCCCAAAGCTGTTCCTTCTCCGCATAGTCCCTCACTGAATGACTTGAAAAATTGCTCTGGGAATCTTGGCCTGTAGTGCTGGCTGGGAGGCTGACGTAGTGCTGATGGATTCCTGAGCAGCTGTTCTTTGCAGCAGGGAAGAGGAAGTGCTAGTGACTGAGGAGAGAGGACTGGAGCTGGAAGATAAACGTGCCACTTCCAGCTAGCCACTGAATTTCTGTTCATCTGCAAGGGAACCGTGCATCTCCTCTGTGATCCTGTTGTAAAGGAGGAGTGCTTTCCTGCCACCTGCTTTCCAGGAGTCTGAGCTAGGAGAGCTCCCTCAGGCTGAGCATACTGTGGGAGCACAAAGCTTGAAGTATTTTTGCAGTATATTCATAACCTCTTCATTCAGCATCAGTTCTTTATGTACAGTCTATTCTGGGGTTTACAGGTGTGGTTTTCTCTTTCACTGCATGAAGCTTTCAACAAATGTGAGTGACCTACTGGCATCTACTCCCCCCCCTTTTTTTTTCCCAAACTGTTTTTCAGCTCCACATATTCACCCAACTACCACGCAGCGAAGAGGGATTCAGAACCAGCACTGGGGGACCTTGCTGGCTTGGAGAATGAGAGACAGATTTACAAGAGTGTGCTGGAAGGCGGAGATATCCCGTTCCAGGGGCTGAGCGGTCTCAAGCGTCCTTCTAGCTCTGCTTCCACAAAAGGTAGGTTGTCAGGTTGTGGACCTGACCTCCATTCTGTCCAGTGTATCAAAAGTATGGTGATATGGGGCAAAGTACTGCAGGGTTTACAGTCCTGCTCAAGCCAATTGAGGGTTCCTCTGTCCTTCCTCTTTGCCATCTCTAGTTTTCTTTCTTTTCTCCCTCAACCCACACCAATCAGTATTTTTCACAATGCCTTTACCTGATCCAGGTTCCTCATCACAGCAGGGACCAGCTCCCTCTGTCCAGCACCTTCACCACACCCCACACCTTCACGCTCCTCTGGGCTGCTCAATCTGGCCTTGCTGTCCATCTGCTCCCTGCATTGTCATGCTACAGCCCTTCCCTGCCTTCTCTGCTCTTTCTATTGGATCTCTCAGCAGGCCATAGCATGTCTGCTGGCCCAGATGCCCTGGGGTAGCTGGCACCATGTGCTCCGCAGCCTCCTCCCTGAGGGGTGTGCAGAGAATGCACAGGACATTGAGCCAGCAGTGTCCTGCAGTCTGTGAGGCAGCAAGGCAGCAGAGACTGCTGTGTTCACCTCCCCATTCCTCCCCCCATTGTGGGCTCTCTAGAAGATGAGGTCAAGGAAGAGCTGGCTCCCATCAGGGAGTTGTATTGGGGAATGTATCTCTGAGCCAACTTCAACCTAAAAATGGCTTCAGATGAGGAGAGGACTGGGGAAAGAATGCATTGGTTTTCTGAACTGCTTTTCCTAAAAATAGTGCATTCGCACCAAAAAGGTCTCTGTCTCCATCTTCCAGCTGTTTTTTTCAGCATTATGTCCAGCCTTCGGGGCAGGGAGTCAAACTGGAGCTGAACAGAAAAAATCTGTTCAAACATTTATTGTTCTCCAAACTGCAATAGAGCCTGAATGGCTATTTTGACATTTTAATTTGAACTCAAATCAGAAACAGACCAAAGAAACAGCAGTCACAGCTGAAACCAGACTGGATTTGATGTTAGAAAATGTCCTCATTTGACTCCTTGATTTTTTTAAAGCAAACATGGCTCACACCACTCTGAAGCATGCTCAGTTTGCTCAAAGCATGGGGAACCTCTAACCTGGCTCTTGGGCAAGGCCAGCTGATGCAGCCTGCTTGTGCTTGCACAGTCAGCCCTTGATTTTCTTCTCCCTCTCAGTAGTTAACTTTTTGGAAAGCGCTTTGGTGAGAACATAGTGTGATTACAGGCTTGATATTAAGCCATTTTTGCAATGTTAGTGCCTGTGCATTCGTGCTGACACCTTGATCACGCCCGGAGTTCAGCTGCCTTTTTCCGTGGTGCCACAGCTTCCCTGGAAGCCAATGACGCTCAGCACTTTTTAGGATGATACCTTCAAAGTGCAGCAGGCCTGTTTCTGGCTGAGCCTCTCATCTTAGAACTATTAGCAGCACTTCACCTACTCCTGTGAGCGCGGCTTGTTGTGCATTGTCTTCCTGCTTTTCTTTATGTTTTGGAACGTGGTTTCTTTAAAGTGCATTTTACGAAATCCAAGCATGTTTTCTCTCCTTTCTCAATAGCTTTCTAGCACTTAAGCTAACAGGTTGTATTTATTTTATTCTGCATGCTTACCAGTGGATCGTAAAGGTGGGAATGCTCATATGACTGCACCCTCTTCAGTTAATAGCCGAACCTTTAACACTAGTCATACCGGTATGTTAGGTCACGCATGTAAACATAAGAAGCCCTTATCAGCTGCAAAAGCCTGCATTACTGAAATCCTCCCTTCTAAATTCAAACCCAAGCTAGCAGCTCCAGCTGCTCTTGGGCAGGAGAAGAAGGGTATCTTGCTGTCTCATGAGAAAGCTCAAAGCTGCGAAAACCTTCGTAGCTCCATTGCCTTGTTTGATAATAAAAAGTCTTTTATGGTAGACGTAGGGGAAAGCATAGAAAACATGTTGATGAAGTCGAAGCAGGAATATGCCATCAAGTCTGGCAGTACCATGAGCCTACAGGAGTATGGCACCAACTCTAGGAAAGGCTACCTGTTCCCTGCCTCCAGGAAGAGTGGAATGGAGTTTACAATGCTGTATAAAGACATGCACCAGATCAACCGGTCCAGGATCCAGTTGGGCACGGTCTCCTCCTGCAGTGTGAGGGACATTGCATCTCAATTTGAGAATGAAGCGAAGGACAGGATGGAACACAGCCTTAGTCGAGAGGATTCAGAGCAGATCCCCAAAGACACTGTTTCCTCCCGTATCAGTGCCTTTGAACAGCTGATCCAGAGATCCCGATCGATGCCCGCGCTTGACTTTTCCACTGGACAAAGCAAATTCACTACTTCTCTCCAGTCTAAAGCTTGTCTAGGTTCCGCCTACTCCGCAGAGATTCTTCTGGATTTGCCAAAAATAAACCAAGAAGAGAAGGATGCTGCCAGCTTGGCAGACAAATCCTCCCATTCCTGCAGCAACGTGGAGGACACAGCTTCAGATGTCAGTGATGCTATCCCTATGGACACACTTTCAGCTTGCACAGATGAGATAGATCTCCTCTCAAATGCATCCAATGACAGTGGTGGCAGCAGCAGCAACATCAATGGGCCTCAGAAGCATAAAGTCAACAGATGCAAAGGCACATGCCCAGCTTCCTACACCAGGTTCACTACCATCCGAAGGCATGAGCAGCAGCAAGCCATCAGGAGCACTGATTCCAAAGGAATCTATGGGGACAGACAAACGCTCCCCAGAAATGTCTACCTAATGAGCCCACTTCCCTTCCGAGTGAAAAAGCCCTTCCAGCACAAGTCCAGCAGGACTCCACCCCCAGACTGCCCCGGAGCCCTGGCAGTGCCCAGCCCCCCGAGCCCAGATGACCCCATACAGCTGCAAGGGAGTGTAGGAGACAAGAGTCATCACTCCCAGCATGAGCTGTGCTCCAGAAGCAGGCCTCTAGCCCCCAGGCGCCTGTCTTCCTTTGATGTTGTGGAGAGGCTTAGCTACTTCCCCAGCATGGGATCTAGCCGAGATAGCTCCATGGGCCGCTCTGACACTCCTGACTCCTTACACAATGGGAACCCAATTCCATATGCCCTCTATCACAGCTTGGACACAAACAACAACCCGCAAAGTGAACTTGGGACGTACCTAGGAGGTGGCTTTTTGTGTTCTTTACCAGTGTCCCTTCATCTGTATTGCTTTCCCTTCCCCTCCCCTTCCTTTCACAACCCATGCATTTTTACTCCCCACCTTTGTATCTGCTGACTCTCCCCGTTTTTTGTTTTTTGTTTTTTTTATGGTATGTCTTACATCCTTTGCGTGTCTTGCTGAGCGTTTTTGTTCAGGACATGTAAACAGCTGCACTTCTGAGAAACGGTTACTGCTGCCTTTCTAATCACACCGGGTTCAGCTGGTCTCTCAAGCAACTCCTGGGATACAAGAATCTCAACATGAGAGATTTCTAGTCCTGTATCATTTGCACACATGGGAGTATAAAACAAACCCAGATGATTTGCTTTAAGGAGCAGTTTCTCAAGGTCTAGTTGTGTGTGTGTGTGTGTGTATGTGTTGAACTTTCCTCTGCAGTTAAATGCCAAATCATACTTTGATGGCAGCAAATCTTTTCTTCAAAAAATCCTTCTATGTTTTTACTCTTTCCCGTGCCTTTATTTTCTCCCTGTTTTTAGATCTTTTTTAACAAGTACAGTCCAAAAGGGAAAAAAATGAAAATAGATAAATTATTGACATCTGATTGGCAATTTAGTTAATGGCGATTGAGAACCTTTGCTATTTTAATGAAAGCAAATTGTTTAAAAATATTTATTTTTTTCCTTTCTGGTTATGCTAGATAAATCCATCTGTATTTTAACTTCCTTATGTTGTTTCGAAGTAGATTCAGAATCACCAAGGCATTTTGCACCAGTTGATTACATGGAAACTCCAGAAGAAATTATCCGCAGGCGTTATGATGATAAAGAGGTAATGCCTTCTTCTATGGCCTTATAACAGCTACTGCAGCTCCAGACCCAAGAAATACAGCTGTAACCCTTTTTAAAGGACAAATTATATGGTGATTGATATGTATCTTGGAAGTTAGAACAAGAAACAGGAACTAGAATGTTTTAGTTTTAATACTGCTTCTACTGCTGATTTATTGTGTGATGCATAGTCCCGTTTACCTTTTGCTTAAGATGAACCTAACAGTTTGTGTCAGTTGCACAGAATGATGTAGAGGGGCTATAAGGAATGTAAAAAGGTTGGATAAGTACGTGAGATGGGGTGCAACACCTCAGGACTTGCGCATAAAGATGAAAGGTTATTCTACGAGTGACTTAATTTTTGATTGTTCTCCAAGCAAGCCACCTGAGTCAGTATTAATCAGACTGGTCAGAATGTTCATTTCCTGTGGGAGCCCTCAGGTTTTGAATAGAAAATGTAAGGCATTCCAAGCCATCAGTGGGAAGCTTTTTCCCTGGTGCAAACTAGAATTCTTTGATGTCTCAAATTGTCAACAGAATGTGTCAGTCCTTTTCAAAATGGCTAGATAATGTATGAGCAAACTGAATAATAAGAAAGCAATACAGAATTGTCAGCACAGGGAGTACTCAACAGAACTAAATAGTTTGTTTTCCAGAAAGCTGTTTGCAAAAGTAATTAATAATAGTAAAATGAAATAAAACCAAGTAGTATTTTTAATGAAGAATTGTATTACCTTTCTGAGTTCAAATAATGTTTATGTGTGTTTTGAAATATGGGTAAAAGGTAAATTCTCATGTAAACAATATTTTTTTTGCTGTCTTCTCCCATTAAACTGTTAGTAATTCTCCCAGTGTCAAAATCCAGCAAGAAAACTTATCTAAGAGCAAAACTCTGAGTTCACTAAGACCTGCTGATTTCAAATTATAGAGCAGTACAGAAATGTATTAATTGACCCCAAAGGAAGAATGGGGGAATCTGGGACCTGGGTGTGGTTAGGCACTCTCCCAAGCTCCTTTCAGAGCTCAGGGAGCTTGGTGCCTCAGCTTATGTGTGCAGCTGATCCAGGTCTCTTGGATGTCAATGAGAGAAACTCCTTGTTGGTTGAACAGGGTTTGCATCGGCCATCTGCATTATCTGCAGCCTCCCCTTATCTAATAAGCTCTCAGAGCCTGGCCCAAACTTAGATAAACTCCCATTGACTTCTATCAGCTTTGGATCAGATCCACTCTATGAGCTGGATTTCCGTTATGCCATTACTGCAATGTACTTTTGTGCCTGCTAAATCTAATGCTATTGTGTAGTTCATAGAATCAGTATTCTGTGTTGAACTGTTAAGTCCCAGCTATTTTATTAAAGTCACGTTTGTGGCAGCTTTCAAATGGCCTTAACTAGATGATTTACTGCCCATTTTATGCAATTTTATGGCAGAAACTTTTAGAGGACCAGAGACGGCTTAAACGTGAGCAAGAAGAAGCTGATATTGCAGCTAGAAGGCACACAGGGGTCATTCCAACGCACCATCAGTTTATCACTAATGAGCGATTTGGGGACCTCCTAAATGTAGACGATACAGCAAAGAGGAAATCTGGGTCAGAGGTCTGTTTTAGTTACCTCAGTCTGCTGCTTGACCCAAAGCAATATTTGCCTCTCACGACGTTGTGCTTTAGGCCGACATTAGCTCTTCAGAGAATGTTGTTTGTTTTTTTTACCCCTTCCCTTTTCCCATTCTGGCTTCATTTAGAACTGCTTTGACTCTCGTGCCTGGTAAATTAATAGGTATCTCTATACCAAGCTGCATATGTTAAAGCATGCCTGCTGAGAATTGCTGGTGCACACCTGTGATGCATGCCTTTAAATATCAGCTACTTTTAGTGAATCAAAGGCATTCTACATCCTTTGCATCATATTGCTACATTGCCTTCTGTCTGTGCCTTATGCTTAGAAACTTCATGTCTTGTTGACCTTGGCCATGTGACTGTCTCATAGTTTTTGTTAGAAATAGATTGCCTCATCTCCTATCAAAAGATGCTTCATGTCCTGGGGAAACAACTGGAAAAAAGGCTCAGCATGTTTCACTGAGTGCAACCTGGTCGGTCTTCTGAAAGAGACAAAGGAGGAGATGGATGGTTCTTCTGTGAGGCTGAGCCACTTCTCCCTGGGGCTGGCTGGGTACTGGGCCAGGTGTGGTGGCCAGGTGCTATCTCCTGCCTTATGGGGTGCTCCTGTGGCTCTTACAGCTGCTTTGTTTCCCTAGAGGTGCACTGTGGCGGTGAGCGAGGTGATCACCATTTGGATAGGTTATATATTTCTGCCCTTTGTTTATGTCATTTCAAACACTCCATAAATGCAACTACTACTTATTTTATGCTTCATTACCAGAATGACTTTAAAATTGTCTAAATGTTCTGTGGCAATTAGAAAATGAGCCAGATAAATGAAATTTTAAAGCCTAAGCCTGCTCTCAGTGTGTCCTCTTTGGCTTTATAGCTACTGAAGACATTTCTAATGAATACACTTTATTTATTCATACTTCCTCCTCACCTTTGTCTCTTTCCTACCAATTCATACTTGGACCACATTGCAGGATTAAGCAGTAAGGAGCCACATCAAATAAAATCCTACTTTTTTCTTTTGCCAGCTGGTGAATTTTGCACACCGATTCTCTCCATGAGGGGAATTTAGTCCCAGAGCCTCCGTAACTGTAGTTACTGAAGCAGCTTTTATTCACCAGCATTGGTCCTATTTTAAAATTTGCTGCTGTTAAGTCTCATTTAAGTGCTGTTATACCACAAGTTGGCACTTTTTGCCCTGGTAAGAGGCCCGCTGACCGATCCAACATATTTACACTGTAGCACCAGTTGCACATAAGCTTGTAGCAGAATACCTGCGTTCATTTCCATCCATAGACTAATGCTAGCTGTAGAAGAGTTTGGTGTGTTATTCCTCAGAAGAGGATGGAAAACCTGATTGTTATCTTTGTGTTGATTTTTTTTTTTCTGATCTCTAGATGAGACCTGCTAGAGCCAAGTTTGACTTCAAAGCGCAGACTCTGAAGTGAGTATAGCTTGTTCCTATTGCTCTTACTGTTCTTCCTCTGTCTTTTCCTCTAGGATGCTGTGTTTATGAAGTTTCATACAATTAGATTCACATTTCACAACTCAGCCCAAGCAAGGTGTCTGCAGCAAGGCAGGGAAAAATAATATGAATCTTGCAGGCTGTAGCCTGTAAGGGATCTTTAGGAAAATATCTTCTTTCTTAGTGTCAGCAAGAGACTTGAACACATGCCTAGTTTTAAGCATGTACCTGGGCCCTTGAACCTGCAAGGATGCAATCTGGTCACTGTTCCCTTGGTAGCTGTGAATGTACCAGCAGATGTTTGTAGTGGCATTGTACCTTCAAGTCCCTGTGGTGAGTCGTAGAGCCTTACTCATTCTTTTTTTTTTTCGTAACACTGCTGTGAAGAAAAGGGCCTGAAGGAATATTACCTTTGCACGAGCCTTGAGAGGAGGCTCTCATTTTAACATTGCTAGGAAGAAAGAGCAGAATTCAGTGAATGAGTGACTGATTTTCTGCTTGAGGAGAACTATGAGGTATCAGACAGAAGTAAAGCAAAGCTTGTGAAAATTGTGATAGGAAAGTCTGAGTTGCTTGTTTTTCTATGGGGAACTGCACAGTAGGCTGGTGAGCCTAGTACAAGCTGACTACAATGTGAGTTCCTCTTTCACAATTCTAGCACCGAAGACTCTGGGTTCAAATCCCAATTGTTATCCCACATGAGGTCAGTGGTTGCACAGCCACTGGCTGACCAAAGTGCAATATTCACCGAATCAACTTTTGTGTATTTGAGGGTTCATCTAATCACTAAACAACCTTCCATTAAAATCATGTGTCATATTGGAAGGCTCTTGTGTCATGACCAGTTTTGAAGCAGGAACTGAGAGCAACCAGTGGCACCTTTTGCTTGAGTTTGACCCCACTGCTGCTGGGAGGTTGTTGTCAGTAGGGCTCTCGTAAGTCTGGTTGTTTTTGTTTTTTGTTTTTAACAGAATACCCAAAGAGCAAGAGAGTTCTTTGCACATGATGGTGTGAACAGGGTCATTCTCAACATGTAGCTTTGATTGGAGCATGATATGTATCTATAGGGATGTTGCAGATCTTATTACTTATTAGGAGTTGCTGAACAGAAAAAGAACCCATCTAATCTCCAGTGAAATTCTGATGGAGTACTTGTGTTGTTAACAGGGAACTTCCTCTGCAAAAAGGAGATATTGTTTACATTTACAAGCAGATTGACCAGAACTGGTATGAAGGTGAACACCATGGCAGAGTTGGCATCTTCCCACGATCCTATATAGAGGTAGCTGCTTACCCTTGAGGTGTTCTCTTTGCCCATTCCCTTTTTGCTAGTGATGATTTCATAAACTTTTTTAATGCAACTCTCTTGATTTTGTTTGTTCATTCTAGCTCCTCCCACCAGCTGAGAAAGCTCAGCCCAAAAAGCCATTACCGTTGCAAGTATTGGAATATGGAGATGCTATTGCTAAGTTCAACTTCAATGGCGATACACAAGTAGAAATGTCTTTCAGAAAGGTAAGACCTAAGTTGCACTGATGAATTGAATCCAGACAAAAGTTTTTTAATGCTTGGTAACTTTCAGTTTCCGAATGAATGGAATACTGTCCAAATGATAGTAAGATCAACCTTTTTGTCAAGGATTCACCCTCATCATCTGAGAGCCACAGATTGTTTTAAGTCAGTTGCAGCAAGATTAAAAATGTAATCTGTTTTGACTTCATTGCCGCTCTTTCAACAGGGTGAAAGGATCACGTTGATTCGACGAGTGGATGAGAACTGGTATGAAGGAAGAATCTCTGGCACCAGTCGCCAAGGCATCTTCCCTGTAACTTATGTGGAAGTGCTCAAACGGCCAGTGGTCAAGAATGCCATTGATTATCCAGACCCACCTGTGTCACTCTCCCCTAACCGCAGCATGACAGCTTCACCACAGGTATTTCAACTAGATGCAGCCAGTAAACGCACCTTGCAGATCAGGGGCATGTTGCCATTACTGTGCTAGAAATAGCTGGCAAAAGCTCTAGCTAACACTAGTATTCTCTGCAGTAAAGCCTATGTGCTCCCTGCAGGAAAAGGTGATGTTTCATTTACCAGAAAGGTTAATTAATGGGTCAGTTAGGGGTTTAGAGATTGAGCTTTTCCTCACTTATCTGTAGCTTTAATTCAGGCCAGAATGAAATGGCTATGGTTTCACTGCCAGAAATGGAATGAGTGTATAGGTGATCCAGCTTCTTCTCAGTGTGTGTTTACAGACCTCCAGGGCATCACAGACTGTTATGGTCTGTAAAAGTCATTATGGTTGACTGCAAACAGCTTGAATCAAGCTGGACCCTTACTCCAAAATGTTCCAGGACCGAGGTTTTATGAGACAGTCATGAGAGTGTTCTGTATTATCTGTGACTGGTAGTAAGTGAACTCAAGTTTAGAAAGCAAGCTGACCTGGGATTTTTCATGAATACTGGCTTAACTACAAGATCTACTACAGTTCAAACCAAAAATCAAAATGGCAACAGATAAATGCATGGGAAATGTAAGAGTCCCAGAACATTTGCCATGGTATATGTACTGGGGAGGCAGTGAGTCTCTAAATCTGTATGTTTTGCTCTCATTCTGCAAATACTCATGCTTAAAGGTCAGCATATGTGTTTGGAGTGGGGCCATGAGATTCTGATGTGTCACAGGACCATGGAAGGCCATTCTGAGGTCAAGACTGCAAGGAATTAAACCTAGTGGCCTGTCTGCCACTAGCTCTCTGCAAGCTTCTCCCTTTGATGGAAGGGATTATATCCAACCTTTTTTGGTTTCCTTAACTATCCTTTTGATTCCCTCGGAGTAGAGCAGTTCTCTTCCTTACTTTTTTTGCCTGACATGGCAGAGGACTGAGAAACACTGATCAGTTCTGTACATGTAGCTGGTCTCACTCATGGAAACAGCCAAGGGCAGACTTTGGTCCTGTGTTCTGCCTTTATAAACACAGGACTTTAATCAGCCAAAGACCAAGTAGCCATAGCTGGTTTTTTTTTTTCTTTTGTTTGTTTGTTGGTTGTTTTTAATTTGTTTCTCCTCCACAGCTTCAGTAATCAAATTTCTTGAGGGGTAGATGTTATTCAGTGTAAAGTTGGATAAACTCAAAATTCATTGCAGCTATGAATTCTGACTGATTCCATTAGTGAGCTGCCAAATCCCAGGTGTTATTGCCAAGCGACTCAAATGCTGCATGCTGCCATCATGGATGGTGATTTTAGCTACTCCTTAAGGTACTTAGGGTTACCAGTAAGAAGTATAAGGTCTTCCACAAGACATCTGGAATCCTGGTGAAGACTGGAGAAAGGTATTACCGATACAGATATGGACAGGACTCTATGGTTGGAGTAGCTGTGGACAGCAGATTCTCCAGCAGGGTACAGTTGTCCATGGAAAACTTAGGCACGTGCTTGGTCATAGATCTGCTCCTCTCCATGCTTGCTCGCTTTCCTTTTACTTTTGCTCGATAGTTTTTTTCCTTTCTTATTTTTGTTCATTTCTTTCTTTTTCTCTTCTGCTTTTGTCTCCTTCAAGTCTCCCAGTTCTGAGCTGCTCCATACACCAACTCCTCCGCCTTTGCCTTTCTCGCGCCGTGCCTTGTCTCCAGAGGTGCAGGCAGTCACATCTGAGTGGATTGCTCTGACCGTGGGAGTGTCTCCTAGCACCACTCCTGCCTTAAGTGCTCCATTGCCTTCTCTGCCTGAAGCCTCCCTCTCCTGCACTGACTCTCTCTCACCTCCTACTGTAGCCAGCCCTTCCCCCTCGTTCAGCCTCCCCCATTCTCATCTCTCTGGCACCTCGACTCCCAGGTCCATTAAATCCCCTTTGCCCTCTTACTCATCTGGGCCTCAGCCCTCTGCTCGCAGTTACTACCAGGCTGCTCCCCAAAGCAAAGAGAAGGTTGGTGGCTCCTCTTCTCCCTGCCCTCGCTGGGCAGGCAGGAGCCCCGAGAGCATCCTCACAGAGCAGCACGGCACCCCTGGCAGCCAGGCCTGGCTCCAGAAGACTAGAGAGGACAGCAGCAACCCTGAGCAGGGTTCCCATGCTGCTCCCAACATCTCTGTGGAGCGCTGTCTGAAACCATCCCAGCTAGACATGCGTGCAAGCCCAGAAAGGAGACCTGTGAGTTCCTCTGAGGACAACCAGTTGTGTCAGGAGCTAATGGCTATTGTGCAGGGAGGTAAAGCAGAGAAAAGAGGCACGAGGAGAGGTGATCTGGGAAAGTTTCAAGGCGGGGAAAAGAAGGTACTTCTGCATGTGTGTGCACTACTCTGAATGCCTGACTTTACTGGTGTGTTGAGGTTTGTGCTACTCTGCCAGCCAGGCGGAGCCAGTGGCTGCCACTTGTCCTTTTAATGATCCTAAGACCTTCCAAGGTTCACAGTGGCGTTCCCTGGGCAGTAGATCAGAAACCTTCAGAAGAGTGCTCAGGAGTAGTGTAGCACAGAATTGACTCAGTTGGCCATATCTAACAAGGTGACCATGTCAGGCAATGGCTATTACCAGATAAAAGAGTCAAATGAAAGGGTCATACATGCCTCTTGCTCATGTACTTCACCATCTAGAATACAGGCAATTATTTGCTATTTAAAGATTTTCCAGTGTGCAATGCACCATCTTTTGTGGTGGGATTTATTTCTTCCCCTTAAAGCCAAGCACTGAAATATCTTATAATTGTCAGCCTGGTTTCTAGAATCACAAAAGCTATGCCTTGTTGGGGAAATACAGGATGGATGATCCTGGAGACTGTGGATTAGTGATCCTCAGGCTGGGATGTGCATGGCTAAGTCAGGGATGCTTGTTTGCTATCTGTGCTTTGAGTGGAATTTATTTATATTAAGTTTAAATTTTGAAAATTGCATGAAAGGGTTCCATGTGTAATACTCCCAAGAGTATTTAGTTATATGCAGTTATATGTTACAGGAAGGAAGATAAGGGAGCCTTCTAGTAGCTTCTGCAACATTTTCTGTCCTCAGTCTTGGTATATGGAGATCTGCCTTACTTTGAAGCTCTCACTTGTCTTAGTGTCCATTATGGGCTACAGTCATCCAAACTACATTACAACGCTTCTGTGCAACTTGGACAGGAGTGAGAATTCGGGGAGCTCAAAATCATAGTGTTGCAAACAGCTTCTCGAATGGAATGCAATTGCCTCCATGACGTATCTCATCTAGCCAGTGATAAATAATGAGGGACTGTGATTTCTACGATGACACATTTCACACTGGGAAATCTTTTGACAACTTATTTGATTTCTGCTTGAATCACAACTAGAAGCATATTGAAAGCTGTATTAAGACTATGCTGTTTACCGACTGCATATATTTTTAGCAGTGCTTTCTACGGGCATAACCTGCATGTTTTAAGCAGAATGAGGTGGTAAGGTCTAACAAACCACTAGGAAACTGCATCTGCCCTTGCATGGAGTTATGTTTGCTGTGTGTGCATCAAATCTTACAGCATAGCAGATATTCTTATCACTACCAATGATTGTGATAAGAGTGTATATGCCAAGCTGACCAACTTTTCTTTTCTTCAAAAGACTGCAGACTCAAAAGCTTTCTCTTCACCTGCTCCTCTCTCTTCCTCTGCCCTCTCTTCCTCTACTGTCACAACACAGCCACCTCCCAGACTTACACGTAGAGTCAATAAGCCACAGGTAATCATCTTTGCTGATTACTCTTCCATTGCTTACAGTTGTTGCCATGCCATGCCATTGTTTTATCATATGCTTGTCTATCCATTCATTGATTCTACACACGGCATTTCTCCTGTCATTTAATTAAGCATTTTTATTAAAAAAAAAAAAAAAAAAAAGTCAAGCAATTTAAACAGTTTCCAGGCTGTGCAGAAGGGCAGGTATGGGCAAAATCTTCTGGTGCAAATCCACCTAACTGCAGGTCAGTGAGTTTCTGCCATTTTGTACCAGCTGGAGATCTGATTTTCTGTTCCTCCGAATTATTAGCTCAGATTTTTAGTACTTCAGCTGCTGATGACTTCTGACGTTGTGTTTCTACAGCTTAATTTCATTCTAAGGCAATATCAGCGCCTTCCTTGTTAGCAGGAACAATATCACCTGTGGTACTTTCATTCAGGCTTTGTTTAATTTCTGAGATCAGGATTCAGGGCCTGAGTGTCTCAGAGCTAGGATAGGACAACTCAGGTTGGTATCCACGGTGTTGGGGACCTGTCTCAGCCTTCCCAGCTGGTTCAGTTCAGATATTTGGAAAAAGTTCTCAGAAGGAGTGGCACACATTGGAACAGGCTGCCCAGGGAGGTGCTGGAATCACTGTTCAAGCAAAGGGTGGATGTGGCACTGAGGCACATGGTTAGTGGGCATGGCGGGGATGGGTTGTCGGTTGGACAACGTGATCCTAGCGGTCTTTTCCAACTGTGATGACTTTGTGATTCTGTGACACCTGCAGTCATCTTTAGAGAGGGACGGAGAGGTGTCTGTGCAGCATTGCCGGCTGAGGAGGGAGCAGTGCTCGTTGCTGGAGGCTGTCAGTCCTTCCCCACAGCCCCACACGATGGCAGTGTGTGAAGCAGAAAGCTCACAGCAAAAGCCAGGCTGAGTTCCAGTGGTGGCTTTGGGGGAAGCAGTCTTGGCTTCATCACTGAACCATGTCCATGCTGAGTGAGTGTGGGAAGTAGATGCCAGTATTTCTTATTTTCATGGACGTTTTGTGAGACTGAGATCTGGCTTTAATTCTGAAATTTTTGTTACCTTTACTCTCCTCATGTCCCATGCTGACTCTAACGCACTTCTATTTTGGGTGCTGCACCTGGTTGTAATGGGACACTGTAGCACTTCTTTGGAGTTGAAGTCAAGCCACATTTTATACGTTGTGTGCGTTGACAGTCAGCCCATTGTCAGTGTCAAGTTAGTGCTGTGCTTGACAGCTGCCAGCCTTGACCTCCTTGCAGCTCTGGGCCTACAGTTATTTAGGGAGCAGTAGTGGTGTGTGTATATACATATATACATATATAATGACTTCCCATTACCTGCATGACCCATACAGAGGCCAATTGCTTCAGCAGACCTAGGGGCATTTTCAAAATCTATCTTCTTTCCATTGAATCTAATTAAATGAGAAGAGCATTTAGTAGATGTGGAAGCGAGCCATTGCATTTGGCTTTGTTTCCAGTACTGTCTGTCCCTGGGGTTTGAGGTATTTTACTGTTTTAAATGTCATATTTTGCTCGTAAAAGATAATCTCTCAGGTTATGAAATTCAAACCCAGGTTTTTTGTTGTTTTAAGACTGCTTAGGTGCAGAGCTGGGTTAAGGGCTGTGTTCTTGCCTGTTCCACTAAGCAGTAATGTAAAGAGCACTGGCTCTTCTAAATATTATGAAATTATTCCCTTTTCTTTAGTTTCACAGTTCAAACTAATAAGAAGAAAAGATAAAAGAGCAAGCCCATAGCATGTGAAAAATATGTCAAGTGTAATTAACAGATGTTTTTTCAGTATTCCAGTGAAACTTGATATTAAATGTCAAATGAGTTTTCAGTGGTGCTAGCACGTCTGTGAGCCTTTAACTCCCAACCCAGTGGCCAAGGAGGCTCTCCATGGTTTCTGCCAGCCTTTACGCCTGGCTGCAGTGCACAGCAAGCTTTTCAGTGCCCCTTGTGAGAGCTCTTGGGCCAGCTTTCCCTTCATTCCCACCAGAGCTGGGATCTGACGTGCAGTGGTTTTCCTTCACTCTGGAGGGCTGGGCAGTCTTCCCTGCTCATGGCTCTCCATCCATGTGCAGGAGCAGCCCTACTGCATGCCCATCTCTGAAGGGATGCCAGTGTCTCTGCTTCTTTCTGTGTGTCATGTCAGTCTGTTCTGCTTAGCTTTCCCTTTGCTCATGTAGTCTTTTTGACTCACACCTGAAACATATTGGAAGAAGACATACAAACAAGTGCTGCAGTGGTTGGACACATTGATGACTCTGCTAGGAGCAGGAAAAGTGCTGCTGAGTCTTCCCAGGATCTTTCTTCCTAAGAGTACAAAACGTACTTCAGGACTTTTCTAGGCTCTTTACATAGAACATCTTTCTGGTATTTCTACAAACCTGTGATGCTCTTTAGATCCATCCTCAAACTCTGTGCAAGGTGGAAACAGTGGCCAGCTGTGCTTTGGAACTGGCTGTACCACATGTTTGTGTAGGATGGAGGCAGAAACACATGTTAGCAAAGCACATAGTGTGACTGAGAGGGTGAGAGCTGAGTGGCCCTGATGGATTATGGAACGTTCAGAGGTAGTGCTAATTTCTTTAGCTCTCAAATAACTAATTTAATTCAGAATCGTTAATGCTTTTAAGAGAAAAGCTGGTCTGGGAGGTCGCAAATAATCAATGAGAAATGGACCACGTGGTCTTAGGTGCTCGTGGAGCAGTTGCAGCAGTCAATTTATTAGTGAGGAGCAAAGAAGCACTTCCTTGAATTAAAAAGAAGTCGTTCTTACAGCTACCTCTCACCTCATGATGGAAATTGTTTTTTCCAGATACTTCACCACCTGAGTTAACTCTGATCTCATCAGATTTGATGCACTATATCCAGTTGCTTTGCAAAATATTAATTTTAAACTTCTAATTATGCTATTAGCGCTTCAGAACTGATGATAGGCAGACAGGAATGACTTCTGTATATTCTGCTGTGATTTCAGGCTCCACAGTAAATGCTTTGAAGGCAAATTCCTCCCCATTTAGCCCATCCAAATTACATTTTATTTTCTCACTGTAAAAATGCAAATGGTTATAGAGCACTGTGTTTTAGGGCAGCGAACCCAGATCCCAGCCCAAGACAGCACAGCTGATGAAGGAGAAGGAGTTGTGGGGTTGGATTGGCATAGGGTGGATCACAGTCTTTGACAAGAGAGTCAGTTCTCTTTAGTACAGTGATGAGCACAGTCCTAGAGATCCAAGAGGTGATTCAGAGGAGCTTTGAGAATGGGAAATACCACTCATAACCTTACACTTCTCCAGACTTCTTGAGCATGCTTGAGCTGAAAGTGTCAGTCGTCTTTCTCCTCTGCTTCTGCTCTGCCTCAGGATGCTATGAGCTTACAAGCCTTTTCCTAAGCCAGTGGTGAGCCACATCTTTGAGCAGAATGAAGGGCACTGATGAAATAAATGAAGAGGATGGGAAAGCATAAAAATGGAGGCATTTGGAGTTTGGGATAAATATTGTATTGGATTATCACAGAGGATGGCAGTGCTCTGTATCTTACCTGTTCTAATCAGTACTGCTTGGATTATCAGAACTGCACTCATTCAGGCATCTCATTTGTTAGAGCATGCACACAGCATTCTTCTTGCGTTTGAACATGCAGAAACATGCAAAAACCAGGTTCTGGATATCTGTGTGACCTGGGATATGGGAGTTCCTGTGAAGAGGATTGAATGGGGAGAAAAGGAATCCAGAAGCTTCATGGATGGTGTTTGGAGCTAGGCTTTCAGTCAGCCTCCTCTGACCTGAAACTCTGCTTTGTTTTGGGAATTGATGGAGGAGCTCAGATCCTTGTGGGGTACAAACTAAAGTGATTTTGATGGGGCCACGCTGCATCATGCCTCCTGAGGACCTGAGCTGGTCTTTTTTAAGAAGCAAGCAAATTACTCTTCTTTCCTGTGTCAAAGTCACCAAGGACTTAGCTAAAAACAGCAGCAGATTCCTCTCAGTGGGTTACATGCCTTCAAGTATGTATTTCTGTCCTTGTCCTCCCCCCCCTCCACCCCAACCACAGTTATGCAATGTGACGCTATGTATCAGTTCTGGTTGTAGCCGTGCCCATGATCTTCTAGCTCATCCTTTGACTCTGTGCTCTAAGCTTCTGTTTTGCTGTCCTTCTCTTTGCAGCATTCTGTGCGCTGCAGTGCAATTGCATTACTGTAGCCCTAATGTCTTGTTTAAATGAAAGATCTTGTTGTCCAGAAAGAGTGGTGCTGGGATGGGGAGGGGAAGAGTTGTTCATTTCCTTTTGTTGTCTGCACACCATTTTTTTTTTTAAATTCTGACCAGTATCACATCTGCTAAAATGTCTTCCTTATCATCTGCTTGGTGATCACACAGCCTTCCCTCCATTCATTGAGAGCTGGACCAGATCTCACAGAGTCTGAAAAGAGCTATGTGGTAAGGCTACTGTTTCAATCAGATGTGTAGTCCTAGCCTTTCTTCACCAAGACAGGGACATCTCAGTAGATTATAAAATATCAGCACCATTTTTAGCTGTGAAATAGGTATATATTTACCTATTAATATGTTGTTTTGTTTGCAATAGAAAAAGGCAATGTAGCACTCAGAAAAACTGCAATAATCAATGGGAAGTTGGGCTAATTGTGCTGCCAGTCCCTGGATATAAGCTAAACGAAGCCAAATGCATGAATGGAGCAGCCCACCTTGCATTCTTGAACTGATTTCATTGCATTTGTAATAGTACCACTGCAGAACTAATTGCAACCTCTTATGCTGCTGCTTTTTAAAATATATGTCTATGTATTTGTTACAAATCTTCAAACTAAATGCCAAATTCTTCTATATCTCACCTGTTTTTCCATGCTTACACCTGGATCCCTTCTGCACTCCACTACCTGGATGTTTACCTGGATCTACAACTCTTTTTTTTTTTTTACTGGACTTATGTACTGCATCTGGAATGTCCCATCTCTTCCTGTCTATATTTTCCCTTCCCTCCCCCCCTGTTGACTGTTCTTTGGGTGTTCTTGGATGTCAATGCTGCCTACCACGCAGGAAGCTGTTTGCAATGAGATCATAAACATTGCAGAAAAGTCTGTGCATTACTGCAGTACTATTTCTCAGCCTCTTGACTCTCGCAACAAGGTGACCTCTAATGACCATAAACCATCTCTCATCATTTCTCAGCAACCTCAAGCACAGCAGCAAGGAACCAGCCCTGACAGAAGTCAAACACCACGAGACATGTAAGTCCTTTTGGCTCCCATCTCTTCCTGGGGTCTTGACTTATACTGGTGGTGAGGATGGGGATGTGTGAAAGCTTCAGCACCTCAGGTGTTAAATTCAGATTGTGGAAAAGTGACTGCTTAGTGCTTTTCTTTGCAGAACAAAAATAGCCTCACAATAGTGAGAAGTCTATCTAAATGGGACCTTTGTGTCTGTATAGCATGTGGAGCAATGGCCTTATGCTCCAAGACTGGGTCTCCTTTGGGCATTTCAGTCGTGCTGCTTACGGAAACTGTTTCAGTGTCTTTGTATCTGAAGCTGGAGGTGAATTAACATGCACTAATCTGGCTCATATGGCATGGGTCAGCATGTTCACCCCTGTTCTTAGCTTCTCATGGCATAGTGAGAAGTCCCAAGATTGGTCACTGTGCATTGTTGGCCAGGTCCAGAAAAGAATTAGTGGCTGAATGATATGAGAGAGCCAGGCTAAGATCTTCAAAGCTCTGTGTTGAGTTTAAACTTGGAGCTGCCATTAATTTCAGCAGGGCATTTCACTGTTGGTTTTGAGAATAGGAGCCTGCGCTGTACTGGGTTTCAGTGTCAGTTGGCTCCTAAAAGGAGCCTTTGCTTTACCCTATCTTTATGCAGAAAGGAAACTCTTGCATCCACTATATTTTCACTCCCCACAGCCAGGGGATCTGGACTTGCCTGGAGATTTCTTCCACTTCATAAGATTCCTTTCAGATAATTACAGAGTGCCTCTGGGGCAATAATTATCTCAGAGCAGGATTCAATCTAAAACTTTGTGGCTCCTTAGCCAGGATTTATCCAACCTTAGTGCAGTAAACAAGGCAGTATATTTTTCTCAAGACCCTCATTCTGCCATTTGGCTGTACATGGCCCTGCCTGTGTGCCTGGGCAAGGGAACTGAAGTCTTATTTAGACAAGTAATGAGTGTATTCAGGTTTTGGCCTGCATTTGTAGGGTGTGTGGTCTCTAGGTGTAGCATGTTAGGAAGGCTGCAGTCATTATAGTCTATGGTCTACATGGAAATAGAGAAACAAAAGTGCTCTGCGCATCCTTTGTGGTGCAGGTGTGACACTGATTCCTGCTATAGCTTGGTAACAGCCAATCTAATATGAGTGGCTTTCACCTTTCAAATGGGGAATACGGGTCCAGATTGTATTGAACAAAATCCAGTGACTAACGTGTGGTATTTTTCTATTCTAGAGTTAGCTACCAAGCTCTATACAGCTACACTCCTCAGAACGATGATGAGCTGGAACTGAGGGACGGTGATATTGTTGATGTCATGGAGAAATGTGATGATGGCTGGTTTGTGGGTGAGTGTGATGCTTGCCAGGCAGCAGGACCCTTTGAGATGCAGATGAGTATTTTTGCAGAGCATCTAGAAGCTGCTTTCAATTGCAGGATTGAAACAGAGTGGAAAAAATCAACTTAACTTTTTTGATGGTTTCTCATCTTCTCCTACTGAGAACATTAAAATTAGGGTGCAGGGTAGTGGAACTTTGTTTTCCTTCCTGTATGTCCAGGTTTTCAATTTTTTTTTTCTTTTAATTTCCATATTCCTTTCTTCCTCCTGATCCTCCTTGCTCACACAGTTTGCAGAGCAACAGAGAGAATCAAGGAAAAGCGGGTTTCTGTGTCTTTTCCAAAGGAGTCGTGACAAATTACAGAAGGTGGCAAGTAGGGGGCAGAAGGAGCACTTGTATTGGAGTTGCAGTCTCTAGAAATCCAGCCTCGGCTCTACATGTTTGTTTAGCTAAATGTAGTCTTGTAGCTTCAAGTAATGTAAGTCTGGACAGCACTCTCCATCTCAACAGTGCAGATCTAGGCTTGTCCTCGGTTCTTAAGGAAGCTGAGATCATTTGAACAGATCAAAGTTTGCTCCTAGTGTACAGGCCCAGGAGCTATCACCACCACCTTCTTCATTGTTAAAACCAAAGACCAAAGATGGTTATTAGCAGACTAATTCTGATCTCTCCTATACCAAAAGGCCCTCTGACCAGGACTCTTATTTATTTTTATAAAACAATGAATGCAAGCAGAAGGGGCTGCCATCTCGACCTTTTAAACCCCTAAGCCTTCCTTGCATGGCTCCATCTCACTCTGGCTTCCTTGTCTTTTATTTTGCTATAGGTACATCCAGGAGAACAAGGCAATTCGGCACCTTCCCGGGCAACTATGTGAAGCTTCTGTACCTGTAAAGTAACAGTAATGCCACAGTGACAGAGATGGAGCTGTTTTTCAGATGGTGTTTTTAAACAATGAAGAAAGAGACAATTTATGAATGTAATAGACAAGAGATGAAAAGTGTTAGGAGGATGTGGTTATGTGGTACAGTATTGAGTTGAATGTGTAGCCCTGCTTCCACTGATTCAGGGTATGATTTGTTTGCTGAAGAGACAGTTTCTAGTTTACAGTGCTGCCTTTGTGTATTCCTCCCCCCTCCCCAACAAGAGTTCTGGTGATAACCTTAATTTGTATGGAGTACTTTACTTCTGAGAAGGCTTCAGGGAAGCAAAAGGTATAGGTTTTGTTTGTGTGTTAAGATATGACAGTACTTTCAGAAAGTACGTAGCCTTGCAGCTGCTCCTTTCACTGGTGAGGTCAGGGAGGCCAGGCTTCCTGCCTTGCTGAAGACTTACTGTGCTCTGCCTTCCACTCCCATAAACTCCCTTCCTCCATGCCACGCACCTTAAGACCCCGCACGGGCAGAGGACAGCCAATGTGGTTAAACTGCAGAACTCTGTTGAGAAGGAGTTTGGGACTGGTAGTTTAATCCAGAGATGTCAGCCAAAGCATACTGCAGACACGCAAAAAGCCCAAACCCTTTCCTAACACATTACCCACTTCTGCAAGGGTTTTTCTTTCGTGCAGGGTGTGTGTGTGTGTGTGTGAGTGTACTGTGTGCAGCAAAACGAACGGAGTAATGTTTTTTTAAAGAGTAATCAACCTGGCTTTGACACTTATCTGCACAAAGAATAAAACCAATAAACAGAACATCCATGAGAGCAAATCCTGTTTATGAGTCCTACGGCTGTTCACTTTTTCTGCTCCCCCTTGTTGGCCCAGAAGCAGTTGAAGCATGCTCTTTGGGATGAAGGCTTTGCTTCTCTCTCATCATTAAATGTCAGAGGCTCTGATAAGTCTGAGCAACATGCCATTGAAGGTGCCTTTTTCTGTTGTCCTTACAGTGTAGATGGTAGCTCCAATAAACACCTGCATTTTGACTGGCCCTTAGTCCAACAAAAAAGTCTGCTCGGTTTGGAAAGCCGTTTTTACAGTGGTTGTTACCAGTCGTAGAGATTTGTATTTCTTTGAGAAAAAAACGTGGCTTGCCTGTAAATCCACTACAAATACTCTTTTGATAGACACTTTGTTATTAAGAAGTATATACAAAACCGGTTCTATCAGACTCTGCTTCCTACAGTTACCATACAAATAGCAAAAGGTTAGATTGCTATTTTGTCATAAGCCGTATTTAATAATATAAAATGCCTATTTTTATGCTGATGCTTTTATACAGATTTATTAAGAGTAACTACAACTAACTGTTAGCACGACTTGCAATATGTTTTGATAAACTAGCCATGCTCCTGGGTTTGAAATCAAGTAGGCTTGTCTTCCGTCTCAGTCTGCGGAGGAGAAGACTCAGTGTCTCAGAAGTTTGACTGTAAATATGTATATTTAACTTTGTACAGACAATGTACTTACCTTGTATAGAAAAATAATTTAAACGCATTGAGTGAAGGGAGAAAAAGAAAGGCAGTTGTCAGAGGTTGGGATTTTATTCCACTTTTATTTAAATGATGGAATTCCGTGTGTGTTCATATAAAGAGTTTCAGCACAAAATATCCACTATGAAAGAGTTTCAGGTATGACACAAAGCACCACTGTCTCTTTTCTATAGGAGATATCATTAATTCTGCATCTTATTCATATTTTTTTCTGCTTTGGTTTTTTCTTCCAGTTATTTGTAGCAGTATGTAGGCCTGTTGCTAAGATTGGATAGCACCAAATTAATCTATCCAGCAGAGTAGCACAATAATACTGACTGTATATAACCTACTCATTTAAAGGTTTATTTTCTGTTCTCGCTCTTGCCATTTAAAGTTACACACACACACACACACACACACACATCACAACTTATTTTTGTGTTGATTTTTGTTCCTTATTGCAGTGGATTACTATTTGGCAATTAATAAATGGAAGTATTGAATTACTATTGTGTTTGTTGTACAAATTATTAAATAAAGCCTGTTCCCGATATTCCTGTAGCAATGCACGTTTGTACCAGTGCTCTCTGTGGCTCTCAGTGGCTGTGGCCATTCTGAGCTGTAGACATCTGCCATCCCGTGCTTCCAGATTCTACTCTCACCTTGGCTTTACCTCACAGGGCTCTCTTATGAGCCAGGCAGGCTGCGGCTCATTCTTGAAGAAAACAAGGTGTAAAAGCAGAGGAAAAAAACATTTTACACCCAGATCCCTCAGTAACATGAGGTCAGGGTGAGAGCTCAGGAGCACACCTGAGCCCAGTGTTTTGCAAAGGTGAAACAATGCGGAAACTTCATAGTGTTCTGATCCTTCTCTGCCCTTGTGCAGAAGTTATAGGTTATAGGTGCCTTTGACAGTATTTTTACCCCCTGGCCCTCTCTTAGGGCAGCAAGTGGCAGCTGTGTCCTCTGCGTTCAGTTATTGACCTCTGGTGCTCATTGCTGCTCTTGTGGTAGTTCTGTAGTGTGAAGAGGACTCCAAGCCCAAGAGTCAGTAACTGGCATCTTTAATGGGGTGATTGCTCTCCAGGATATTAACTCCCTGCGACTGCCTCTCCTCCAGCCTCATCCCACTGCCCTGGTTTTGTGTGCAGCCTAAACCTGACGTGTGCTGTACTTGGTCACTCTCAGGGAAGCAGGGCTGGGAGACTCACGTCCACACAGACCCCACCAAGGGATGGTGTCGCATTGCAGCCCCTCGGGTTGCCAAATAGTTGTACTCTGCCCAGGCAGCTCTGGCCACAGCGCTAACCGAAGGCACAGTCTGTGGTGTGCATACCACAGCTCCCAGCCCTCTGGCAGAACAGCTGGCTGGGACTTCTGGGTTTTGTCTCACAGAAACAACCCATCCCTGCAGAGCAGGGTGAAGGAAGGCTGTTCCAAGCAGGGGGGGAACATTTTTCAGTTTTGCAGGCTACCATGCAGAAAAAGCAGAAGAGCAGCTGCCATCACTGTGCTGCAGCTCCCACCATCCCAACCCTTGCTTTGCTGTGCCTGGGGTGGGCGAGGAACCTGGCTGTAGCGTCTTACCCTCCTCAATGGACATCCCTGAGGGCATGACTGGGGCTCTGTGTGGGGAAACCACTGCCTTAGGGGGAGAGAAAGGGCACCAAGTCGCCACCTCCCGTTGTGACCTGCGCAAGAGGCTTATTCCTTAGAGCACCCCACCATGCTCTGTGGTATTAAGAAGGCCCCAGTGAGGAGAGCAGGCAGAAAGCTCCATCATTTGCTGAAAGGGATGTGGTAGCCTGGTTTGACTGCAGCAGCTATCTTCAGCAGGTGCTGAAAGACATGGGGGGACGTACATGTGTTCCTAGACACAAGGAGACAACTACAGCCACTGAAAGGCTTCCAGACCTCTGTGGTGTCCCTCTCCATCCCAATCTACTTGCCCAGTACAAAAGAGACATAGAATCACTGGAGAGAGCTCAGCAGAGGCTACAGAGATGGTCATGGCCTGGTGCACATCTTGTGAGGAGAGGCTGGGAGCCTGCTAGGCACTGGAAAGGATGAGGGGGTGTAAGTGATTAACGTTGCAGAAGGGCAGATGTGTGCAGAAAGGGGGCAGATCCTTCTCACCTGTGTCCAGCAGCAAGATAAGCAGCACCTGTGTGATCTACCGTAGCTGCTGCCGGCTGGTAGGAAGAATGCTTTCTTTGCCTTCTGGTTCTGCCCCTAAGGGCATCAGGAAAAAAAAAAAAAAAAAGCAAAATTTTGCCTACAGCGACGACGAATCAGAAATAAATGAGAAAGAAGGCGGTTTTCTCCCCAGGATCCCCTTGGAACCTCTTAGCTCTACCCTTGGGTTCTGCATTAACAGCCGCGCTGCCCGAAGCTGCGCCCCGGCGGTGCCGCTCCCCGCACGGAACCGTCCGTGTTGTGCTCGGACCGGCAAGCAGCGCTTCTGCAGCCCGAGACCGCCCCGCAACGTGCTCAGCCCTGCAAACTGCGGTAGGAAGAATCTCACTTTAAATTATGGCGGGACGGTTTTTGCCTTTTTTTTCTCCCGAACTTTTACCACTGCTGAAGCCCAGCCAGCGATGCTGCCCCGCCTCCAGGACAGAGCAGGGCTCAATCCTCCTCTCGGGGCCGCGCAGGCAGCCCTGTGGGTCGAGCAGCTAGGGGAGGGGCCGGAGGCGGGCCGTGCCGAGCGGAGAAGAGCCGTGCCGAGCGAAGCCGGTGCTGCCGGGCGTGCCGCGAGGTGTAGCCGTGCACATGGGAACCCACCGCATCGTGCTGACGGGCCCCGGGCCCTGGGGCTTCCGCCTGGTGGGCGGCCGGGACTTCGAGCAGCCCCTCACCATCTCACGGGTAGGGCTGCGCGGGGCCGGGGCGGGCGGTGCTGGGCGCCGGGGCTGCCCGGGGGCCGTGCGCTCTGCTGGCGGGCACGGCTCGGCGCGGAACGAAGCGAAGCGGCGGGTGCGTCCGTGAGAGCCGAGCTAGGGTCGGCAGGTGGCTGCTGGCACAGGGCAGAGTTGTTTCCGCGGCCAGGTGTGTTTGCCTGGTGCCACGTTCTCCCCGACGAGTCGGGGCGCCGCAGCCCACGTCGCAGGACCGACCGTGCCGCGCTGCTGCGGGACGCGCGTCTGCTTCTACTTGCCATGTATAGATAGAAAATGCTTTGTTTACCGAAGCCATATTAACCTCTGTTAAGTGCCTCTCCTTCCTTCTGTTTTAAGCCCCTTACCCTCTACTTAAGGGAAAATGAGTTAGGAAATGACGGCTAAAGCCTCGCATCAAAGCGATTACATTGGCGTAACTTGATTTGCCTATCTCTACTCCAGTGTTTGCCTGCCAAGCACAGGGCTGGGCTGTGGCCTTGCTCCCTCTGTCCCGGTACCCACCTGCACACAGACGTCACTGTGCCCTGCCCCGCACTGCTGTCAGGCACCTCCAAGAAGCAGGGTGTGCATGGACGTCTCCTCCTGTGCGGGATGAACTGCTCCCAGCCACCCATCACTTGGTGAGAGGTGTGCTGCTCAGCATCTGTCTGGGCTGCCCGCTGATCTCCATCCAATGCTGTGCTAATGTCAAGTACATCTGATATTCCACGGCCCTTCCTCAGCTGGGGCCTATGAGATTTCGTAGAATCACAGAATGGTTTGGGTTGGAAGGGACCTCACAGACCACCCACTTCCAACTGCCTGCCACGGGTGGGGTTGCCAACCATTAGATCAAGCACTAGCTCAGGTTGCCCAGGGCCCATCCAGCCTTGAAGACAGTGGGACCAGGCTGCTCTGTTCTGTGAATCCTTCCTGGAGAAACGGGGTGGCAAAATGTATTATTTTTTTTTCTAAATGCCCCCCACCCTGGGCTCTTTGCTGCTGGCGGTCCCTGCATGCCACAGGGCTCCAGGGACAGCAGTGCTGTCAGATTCACAGGAGGGGGGCTGTTGTTAATTTTGTCTCTGATCTCTTTCAATTGCAATAATAATGCCACATTCTTGTAAAGCTTTTTTTTTCTGGACATGAAAGTAGCTTTAGCGTAAGGGAAGTGATATTTACTGCATTGTTTTGGTAATTGTTGCCATTTCCTTCCAGTGAGACTGTCAGGCAGAAGTATGTCTGCAGCCCTACCTCGCTATTCCCACCTCTTCTCCTTGGCTGTCTTTGTCAGTGCTTGTGGTTGCATACCAAGGGATGTAGATCAGCGAAGTGGCTGAAATAACTGTCTTGTGAGAAACCAGTTGTGACCCTGGAGGCTGAAATGTAATAGAACAGCCTCTCTGCTTTTGGCAATTGGCAGTTCCTCTGGTGCTTTTAATTCATCCTCCAGACTTTCAAGCTATCAATCTTTCTACTGGTCCCTCTGGTCACGGACCTGAGTTGGGTGCCCTGCACCTCTCTTTGAAGCTAAGTGCCTATGTTCAGACTGTGTTGCCTGTCAGGAGTTCAGGTTTTGCCTTGGACAGTGTCATGCCCAGGGTGAGCTATTCCGCTTGTCTTAGTATTTATGGCCTCCATCTCCATTATAGCTCAGTGCTGTGCTTCTGTCTTGTCTTCCCCACCACTGGCTGCCATCAGCAGGACTTCTCTCAGTCCTGCTGGTGGGAGGGAGGCAGGACTGTTTGGGGTGTAAAAGCAAGCTCGATGACTCAATCCTAGGGCCAAGGAGGATGAGAAGCAGTGGTGTGGTGTGCATGGAGCCAACAGAGCAGCCTGCTCTGCCCCCCAGCTCCTGGCCAGCAGTGGCCATGTGGTACTGATGTCTGATTGTGTATGATGACAGTAGCAGATGAAACACAACAATATTTCCACAGCTGCTCTTTTCTTGTCTCTTGTTGCTGCTCTAACCCCTCTTCCACTTGAGCTTGTTCAGAACTGCTTCAGGCTCAGATGCATCGCAGCATCTTCTTGTGTGCACACTCCTGGTTCTGGGGTTGTGCTGGACCTGTGAGAGCAAGCATGAGAATTTCACAAGTGTTCTGCATGAGACTCTCATAGACCCCCTGTCTTTTCCAAAGAGATGCCTTACAGATGTCTCTCTTTCTTTTAAACACTGTAGGGTTTTGGTGGATATTTTGTTACTGTCTTTGTTCAGAAAAAGTACAGTGTGCTTTTCTGGCCCCTGGGCCAGTGCTTGCTATATGCCCTTACAGGAGTAGGGAAGACCTCTGTCTTTATGTGCCTTTCAATAACACCATGCAGTGAGTCATGAGTGCAGAGCTTTTCCCAAATCCCATCTGAGCCATGGATGGACACGCTGCAGGATGATGGTGATGGTGGAGCTGTACAGGGTGGTTCCCGTTAAATTCCTGTGAGACCAGCAGGGCTGGTGGAGGAAGCAAGGAATGTGCTGTATGGGGAGACATGCAATAAAGCAACATGGTTAACAGAGCCCATCCCCCTCTGTCCTTCAGGTAATACGAGCTCTTTCCTGTTTATTTGCATTTTATTTTGATAAACACAGTGGATTTCTGTTTCCAGTTGAGTATATACATGGCACTGTCCCATAAACCCTGCTCTTGAGCTGAATTTATGTTTTGTACTAGTGTTG